CGGTCCAGGCGGCAGCGCCGCAGCGCCTGCTCGTCGCTCAGCTCCAGGAAGGAGCAGCGCACCCGGTAAATGCGTTGGGCTGGGTACGGGCGGCGGCGGCGGCGGCCGCGGCGGGGGATCGGGGATGGGGGAGCAGCGAGGGGAGCGGGGAGGGAGATCCGGGTGGGTGCGGGGTGCCGGTCATGAGCGCGGCACTGATCGCGGGACCGTTCGTGGGGTTCATCCCGGTCCTCTTCGTGGGGTTCATCCCGCTCCCGGTGCTGCTCCCGGTCCCTGTCACAGCCCTGCTCCCGGTCCCTGTCACAGCCCTGCTCCCGATCTCTGTCACAGTCCTGCTCTCGGTCCGCAGTCCTGTTCCTCGTCGCTGTCCCGGTTCCGTTCCCGGGTGCCGGTGCCGGAGCCGCCGCAGCAGCAGCACCGCGTGGGACATGGCGGGGCGGGGCTACGGTGGAAGGGGCGTGGTTAGTGCTGAGGGGCGGGGCCACACCCGGCCGGTCCCGGTGGCCCGCGACACCCCGGTGAGAGCGGGCGGTGGCTGTTTCTGAACGGGTCGATGCCGCTTGGGGCGGTCAGCCCCAGTCCTGGTCCCGGTGCCGATAGATCCCGATGGGAGCGGTTGGTCCCGGTCTGTCCCAGTCGGTCCCGGTGGGGGGCAGTTGGTCGCTGTCCCTGTCCCCGTACCGGTGGATCTCGATGCCGGTACGGCGGTCTGTTCGTGTCCCGGTGCCGGTCCTGTTCCTGTCGGTCCCGGTTCCCCCGGCTCGGTCCCTGTTCCTGTCGGTCTCGGTTCCCACGGTTCGGTCCCGGTTCCTCAACTCGGTCCCGGTTCCCCGGCCTCGGTCTCGGTTTCCCGGCTGGGTCCCGGTTCCCCAGTTTTGTCCCTGTTCCTGCCGGTCCCGGTTCCCCGGCTCGGTCCCAGTTCGGCGGCGCTATCAGGCCACGCCCCTCCCCCGCGCTCTGATTGGTCAGCACTGCTTTCACGTGCCCTAAAAGCCCCGCCTCCCCCCTCACTTCCGGCGCGCCGCCGCACCCCATTGGCCGCCGGGAGGGAGGGAGCGCTTTGTGCCAGACGCTGTTTGGGCCGCCGCTGGGCGGGGCCTCTTAGCGCCTCGACCAATCGAGTTGCACCGTTCCGCCACTCTCGGCCAATCAGCGCGCGAGGTGGGCGTGGCTCCACGTAAGGCGGCTACCGCCATTTTGTTGCCGTCATCGAGTACGGGCGAGGGGGGGCGCGGTGAGACTCGGGGGCCCCGGGATGGGCACGGGTGGGACCGGGAGGGGCTGGGGAGGAGCTGCGAGGGACCCCGGCCCTGCTGTCTATGGGGGAGCATAGCACGGGGTCCCGCGGCCTCGGGAAGGCGCCTAGGAAGGGGCTCAGACCTAGGACGGGAGCGAGATGAGGTCTTGGGGGGACCCGGGTCCCCCTCCATGGGCTGGGTGCTCACGGATCACAACCGGGGCTGAGACTCCGCTCGAGACCTTGAAGGTCTCCCGGCTCATTGTGGGGTGCCCGGGCCTGGGGGTCTCTCCTGAGGGGGTCTCTGCTTCAGGGTGCCCTGGGGGTGAGGGGGGTCCATCGAGAATCAGCCGGAGGAGGATCCATGAAAGGTGGAGGGAACCTTCCCCTTCCCCCTCCCCGGAGCGGCTCCGACCCCTCAGCGGGACGGGGGGTTTTTCGGGGAGGGTCTCACCGAGCTCCCCTTCCTTGGCACCCCTCAGGTGGGTCGCGATGGTGAAGCTGTTCATCGGGAACCTGCCGCGGGAGGCGACGGAGCAGGAGATCCGCTCCCTGTTCGAGCAGTACGGGAAGGTGCTGGAGTGCGACATCATCAAGAACTACGGCTTCGTGCACATCGAGGACAAGACGGCGGCCGAGGACGCCATCCGCAACCTGCACCACCACAAGCTGCACGGCGTCTGCATCAATGTGGAGGCCAGCAAGAACAAGAGCAAGGCCTCCACCAAGCTGCACGTGGGCAACATCAGCCCCGCCTGCACCAACCTAGAGCTTGCGCGCCAAGTTCGAGGAGTACGGCCCCGTCATCGAATGTGACATCGTCAAGGACTACGCCTTCGTGCACATGGAGCGGGCCGAGGATGCCGTGGAGGCCATCCGGGGGCTGGACACCACCGAGTTCCAAGGTGAGCCGTGGGCTGGGGGCACGGGGCGGTTCTGGTCCGGGAGGATTTTGGCTGATTTTTGGTGTTACCCCGGCCCCACTCTGTGGTTGGTGCTGCGTTTGGGGCCTCTTCTCATCCTGGAGCGCTGGAATTGGATCTGGGGATGGGTGCCAGGTGCTGTCCCTGTGCCCTCATGCGGTGTCAGGGCTGGGGACACCATGATGGCTTCATGTCAGGCAGAGTGGCTCCACAGCGCTGGAGTTTGTAGGAATTCTGGAGGATTTACCCCAAACTGTTAGGTCAGGGTGAGTTCATCTCTGGGGCCACCTCACAGGATTGGTGGTGTCCCTTTGCTGCTGGAATTTGGGGGGGAAAACGGGGCTGGGAGCCAGCGCTGTGTCCCTCTGTCTCCTGTTGTCCCATTGCTCCCGTTGTCCCATTGGCTCCCATTGTCCCCAAGTCCTGCCTGGAACCGCAGGGACCCCCCTTGTCTGCGGGGGCTGGTGCCCACCCTGGTGGCTCCTGTCACCCCCCACCCTCATCGGTGCCAGGGGTGGCTCTTGGGGGTCCCCATGGCTGCTGCCACCTCTTGAGGGTCCCACGGTGCTGGTGCCATTTCTGGGAGTCCCATGGACCACCAGCCCCAGCCCTCCACGGTCTCAGATGTTCTGATCCTCGATATCATTTAATCTTGGTGCAATAATTAAATAACTGAATTACAAAACAATGGCTGGAGTTTGTGCCTCTGACAGGGACCCCAAACAAAGCAGCTCCTGGGCTTTCATCTCCTCAGTCTGTGCACAGGAAGGTTTGGAGGTTGTCACCTCCTCCGTGTCCCCAAATGTCCCTCACGGGCTGGGCCACAGGTGCTCTAGGGGTCCCCAAGGGGTGGTGGTGGTTCCGGGGAACCCCACAGTGCTGGGGTGATTCTGGGGACGGCCAACGGTGCCAGGGTGGACACTGAGGGGACCCATACAGATTGCCAGTTCCAGGGATGGTCCTTGGGGACCCTGCAGTGCCAGAGCAGGGGGTGGCTCTGGGGGTCCCCACGGCCTTGTGCCAGTGCTGGGATCAATTCTGGGGGACCCCACGGCCCAATGTCGGTGTCGAGGTGACTCTGGGGGATCCTGTGGCCCAATGCCTGTGACAGGGGGGGATCCCATGGCCCGATGTCACTGTCAGGGTGGCTCCAGGGATGCCACAGCCCCATGGCCGAGGCTCCGGGTTGGGCTGGGCGCGGTGCCCGGGGGTGACGCCGGTCTCCCTCTCCCCAAGGCAAGCGGATGCGCGTGCAGCTGTCCACCAGCCGGCTGCGGACGGCGCCCGGGATGGGAGACAAGAGCGCTGCTACCGCTGCGGGAAGGAGGGGCACTGGTCTAAGGAGTGCCCGGTCGATCGCCCGGGGCAAGTGGCGGACTTTGCCGAGGCCTATAACGAGCAGTACGGAGCCGTGCGCACTCCTACCTACACCGCGGGCTATGGGGAGACCGTGTATTACGATGAGGCCTACGGCGGGATGGCCGACTACTACAAGCGCTACCCCGCGTCCGCCTCCTACGCCACGGCCTCGGCGTACGACGCCTACGCGGAGCAGACCATGGCCCAGTACTCCCAGTACGCCCAGTACCTCCCAGGTCCAGTCCTCGGCCATGGCCGCCACCACCGGCCATGGCCGGCCGCATCCCCACCACCTTAGACGCGTACGACCGAGCGCTGCTGCCCACCCCGGGCGCGGCGGCCGCTGTCGCCGCCGCCGCCGCCTCCGTCGCGGCCCGCCGCCGCGTCCTCCACGTATTACACCCGGGACAGGAGCCCCCTGCGCCGCACGGCCCGCCGCGGCCAGCACCGTCGGAGAGGCGTACACGTACGAGCGTGGGCAGCTGTCGCCCGTCTCCTCGGTGGCCCGGGCGTCCCTCTACGACCTGCAGCGTTTCGAGCGGGATCCCTACGGGGAGCGGGCGCGATACTCCGCCTTTTGAGGTGAGCGCCGGGGGCTCGGCCCTGCCGGGCGTCTCCGCGCTGCCAGCGCCTGGTAACGGCCTTTCCTCTCCCCCAGGATCGCCACAGACCCCCCGGGACTCGCCGCCATTGCCGTGGCTCTGCAGCCCCCGGATGTCGCCGCCGCGCCAGGTCAGACGTGCCCCGGGTCGCCGCTGCCGCCGCGTCCCCTCCCTGTCACCGGGACCCCCCGTCCCCGCCGGAGCCGCCAGAGCCGCCGCGTCCCAGCGCCCCGCGTGTCCCCGTGGCTGGGTGTCCCCGAGTGTCCCCCGGTGTCCCCGGGTGTCCCCGTGTCCCCCATGTCCCCTCACCTCTCTGCTCTCTTCCAGGTGCGGTGGCCTCGGATGGAGCCGTGTCCCCACCGCCTGAGCCCCCCCTTTTTGTACGGAGCTTCCCCAGGGTCCCCCTCGCCCCCCTGCCCGGCGGGGACACCCCCGGCCTCACCCGCCCCTTTTCCAGCAAAATAAACATTTTCACCGATTTCTGTCACCGATTGCTTTCTGTCACCGAATTTCCGTGCCTGGGCCGGGCCTGGCGTGGGGGGCGGAGTCTGACGTGGGCGGGGCCGGTTCTGTCCAATCAGAACGCAGCGCCATCGGGAATTTTTGAAATCCCGCGCGAAATATGCAAATCAGCTCCGTTCGCGAGCGGGCGGAGCGAATGCAAATCGAGGGCGCGAGCGGCCAATCATTGCCGTAAGAGAGGGGCGGGGTTATGCAAATTTACGCCGCAAGGGGGACCCCGACCCCATTTCAGTCACGGACCGTGGGTCTTATTTTGTCGCCCGGAACTTATTTCACAAATTCGTGTCACTGTTTCCGCCCGAACTTGTGTGTTCTGTGACGTCACTACCGCCGCGACGCCGTCTCGCAGCGACCATCATGGCGCTGAACGGGGGTGAGGCACCGCGGGACCCCCCCCGGGCCGCGGATCCCCCCCGGGACCCTCCCTCACCACCGGGAGCCACCCCGGAACCCCCACCCGCCACCGGGACCGCCTCGAGCCTTGAGGATCCTCCCTGGAACCTCCCCCGCCACCACCGGGACCTTCCCGGGGACCCCCGCCCGCCATCCCGGGGCCGCCCTGCGACCCCCCAGGGCCCCTTCCCGCCTCTCCGAGTCCCCCCAGCTCATCCCAGTCCCCCCTTCAGCCGCGGTTTGGGACCCCTCCGGTAACCGGGACCGCCCCCACCCCCCGGTAACCGAGACCCTCCCCCCCGGTAACCGGGTCCCCCGCCCCCCCAGGCACGGACGAGGCCGAGGCGCGGCGGGAGCGGCTGGACCGGGCGAGCCGGCCATGGGGGCGCTGCTGCTCCGGGGTTACCGAATGCTGGGGAGCTCCTGCCCGGAGTGCGGGGTGAGCGGCGGGGGGAGCACCGGGACCCCCCCGGGAATTGGGGGTACCGGAGGGGGGTGGGGGAGGGGTCCCGGTCCCCCGTGACTCCCTGTGTCCCGTCCCCCCCCCCCCCCAGACGATTCTGCTGCAGGACAAGGAGCAGCGGCTGCTGTGCGTGAGCTGCCAGGACCCCGAGGGGGGACACGGTACGGGAGGATTTGGGGAAAAAGAACGGAAAAATTTGGGGGGGAAAACGAGAAATTTGGGAGGAAAAGGGGAATTTGGGGGGAGAAAATTGGGGAATTTGGGGTGGGGGCATTGAGGATTTCGGGGAGGGGGGATTTGGGGATTTGGAGGAGAGGTATTTGGGATTTTTGGGGTGGGAATTTGGGATTTTGAGGGATGGGGAACTGGGGATTTTTTGGGGTGGAAATTGGGGATTTTGGGGAGGGGGGGATTTGGGATATTGGGTGGTGGAGAATTGGGAATTTTGAGGGATGGGATTGGGACCGAAGTGGGAGGATTTGGGAGGGGGAGATTTGGGGATTTTGGGTGGGTGAGGATTGGGGATTTGGGTGGGGTGAATTGGAGATTTTGGGGGCGGAATTAGGGAATTGTGAGGGGGTGAATTGGAGATTTTTGGGGGGAAAATTGGGTATTTTGGAGGAATGTGGAATTAGAGGGGGGGGACGGGCTGGGAATGAAGGACGGTGCTGTCAGAATTTGAGGGAGGGGCTGGAAATTTTAGGAATTTTGGACCTGAACGGATTTTGGGGGGGAGTGGGAGGACCCCAAACTTTGTGCCCTCACCCCCTCCCTCCCCTCCCCCAGCTGCCGCCCCCCCCCCCCCGGCCCTCCCCGCCCCGAGCGCTGCGAGGGCGCGGCCGCCGCGTTCCGGGGCTCCCCCCCCGCCGCCCCGGAGCCTCCCGGGGCCGATCCCGGCGCCGATGACGGCACCGGAGCCGCGGTGGCGGCGGCGCGGGCGGCGCTGCTGCAGAAGCTGCTCTGGGCCGCTCGGGAGCTGCCCCGCAGCGGCTCCGTGGAGGGCAGCGCCCGCCTCTGCCGCCTGGTGCGGGACTGCGCCCTGGCCCTGCGGGGGCTGCGGGACCTGGAGCCCCCGGGAGCCACCCCGGACCCCCCCCGGGGCAGTTTTGAGACATTCTGAGACCCCCGGGAGCCACCCCGGGGCACCCTGAGAGCCCCAGGAGCCGCCCTGGGACACCCTGAGACCCCCGGGAGCCACCCTGGACCCCCCCAGGTCAATCTGAGACCCCCGGGAGCCACCCCGGGACACCCTGAGAGCCCTGGAACCATCCCAGGGCACCCTGAGACCCCCGGGAGCCACCCTGGACCCCCCCCCCAGGACTCCCTGAGACACCCGGGGCACTCTGAGACCCTCCCAGGACATTCTGAGACCCCCAGGAGCCACCCCAGGGCACCCTGAGACCCCCCGGGACACCGTGAGCCCCCCCTGACCCCCCTTGGGACATTTTGAGACCGGGAGCCACCCCCGGACCCCCCCCAGGGCACCCTGAGACCCCCCCCAGGACCCTGAGACCCCCCCCGGGACCCTGAGACCCCCCCGGGACACTCTGGGACCCCCAGGACCCTGAGACCCCCCCCCCAGGACACGGCTCAGGATGAACCCCCAGGTTTGGTGTGTAACGGAGCTTTAAAAGTGATGGATGTAAAATAAATTTTATATAAAAGGGTTTGGTATAAATGGGGTTTGATGTAAAATGATTTGACATAGAAAGGGGTTTGGGATGAAGGGTTTGGTGTGAAAGGGGCTTTATAGAAAAGAACTTGGTATAAAAGAGATTTTGTATTAAAGGGTTTGGTGTGAAAGGGGTTTGATATAAATGGATTTGGGATAAAGGGTTCGATATTAAATGGATTTATATGGTATAAAAGGATTTGGTGTGAAATGGAGTTTGGTGTAAAATTAATTTGGGGTAAAGGTTTTGGTGTAAAAGGGATTTTATAGAAAATTATTCGGTATAAAAGGATTTCGTATTAAAGGATTTGCTGTAAAGTGAATTTGGGACAAAGGGGTTTGGTATAAAACAAATTTTATATAAAAGAATTTGATACAAAAGGGATTTCGTATAAAAGGATTTGATATAAAATGAATTTGGGATAAAGGGTTTGATATAAAATAGATTTTTTAGAAAATAATCTGGTATAAAAGGGATTTGATATCAAATAAATTTGATATATATAAATTTGGTATAAAAGGATTTGCTATCGAAGGATCTGATAGAAATAAATTAGATATAAAAGAGTTCAATATAAAAAAGGATTTGATATATAGTAAATTTGATATAAACTAAGTTTTGTATAAAAGGGATTTGATATAAAGTAAATTGGGTATAAAAGGGTTTGATATAAAATAAATTAGGTATAAAAGGGTTTGATATAAAATAAATTGGGTATAAAAGGGATTTGATATAAATTTGGTATAAATTAAATTGGGTATAGAAGGGTTTGATATCATTTGGTTATAAAAGGGATTTCTATGGAAGGGATTTGGGCTAAAATCGTCGATTCGGTTCCAAAATCGGAGCCAAACCCAAACCCCAACCCCCAAACTCCCGGATCTGACCCCAAAACCGCCCCCAAATCCTCTCGGGGGGGGGAGGGGCCGCACGGGGGGGGAGGGGCCGCCCCTCCCCCCCTCCCCCTCTCCGGTTTCCCGCGGGCGGGGCCGGGTTTGGGGGGGTCGATGGGGGGGGGGTGCGGAGCTGTCGCGACAGATCGCGATCCCTGCAGGGCCTGGGGGGAGGGGTGTGTCACGAGAGGGGGAGGGGCCGTGGCGGCTTTGGGGACCCCCGGGTTTTGGGGTTTTTTTGTTTTTTTGGTTTTTTTGGGGGGGTCCCGGGGGGTCCATGGGGAGCGTCTGGAAGCGGCTGCAGCGCGCGGGGAAGCGAGCGGCCAAGGTTCGCTTCGAGGCCACCCTGGAGGAGCTGCTGGTGGAGGGGGGGGGGCAGCTGGTGAGTGACCCCCCCCAACCCCCCCATACCCCCCCGGACACCCCCAAATCCCCCCGGAACCCCCCCGACCTCCCGGGACCCCCCCAAAGTCCGTGGGAGTTCCCAGATCTATCGGGATTCCCCCCAAATTCGTGGGATTCCCGCCCAAAAAAGCCACGGGAACCCCCCCGGGACACCCCCAAATCCCCCCGGAGCCCCCCAAAGTCCGTGGGAGTTCCCAAATCCTTCGGGAACCCCCCCAAAATCTGTGGGAATTCCCAAATCTTCCAGAATTCCCCCCAAATTCATGGGATCCCCCCAATCCCCTGAGAACCCCCCCCAAAGGTGGGGGAGGGACCCTAAACCCCCCCCCCCCCAGGACCCCTAAAATCAACGATTCCCCCCCCTCCCCCAGGACACCCAAAAACCACCAAACCCCCCCAAAATTTCCCCCCCGCGGGTTCATTTTGAGTTTAAAATCTCCATAAATGGGGCCGGGCTAAAAATAACCCCGGGGGGGGGGGGGGCGAACCCCCCCTCCCCTCCCCATTCCTCCCCTCCCCCCCCGGGGGTGTCCGGTTTCCCCCCCCCGGCCCCAAATCCCAAATTTAGCCGCGACCCCCCCTCGGTGGGTGGGGGAGGGGAGGGGGCCGCGTTTTGGGGGTCCCGAGGGGGGGGGGGAGGGCGAATTTGGGTGTTTGGGGGGGGGGTTTGGGGAGGGGGCGTCAATTTTGGGGTTTCGAAGTGGGGGGAGGTTTGGGGGGGTCAGTTTGGGGGGCCCTGGGGAGGGGGGGGGTGGGTTTGGGGAGGGGGGCAGGGTTGGTTTGGGGGGGGGGGGTTGGTTTGGGGGTCCCCAGGGGGGTCCTGACCCCCCCCCTTTGCCCCCCGGCCCCCCCAGGACCCCCGACCGCCTGACCGTGGTGTGGAGCCGGCGGCACCGCAGGGTCTGCTCCAAGGTGAGGGCGGGGGGGTCCCAGGGGGGGCTTTGGGGGTCCCAGGGGGGATTTAGGGGGTCCTGGGGGGATTTGGGGGGGTTTGAGGGGGTCCTGAAGAGTTCCAGGGGGGGTCCTAGGGGGGGTTGGGGGTTCCGAGGGGGGTCCTTGGGGGGTTTGAAGGGGTCCTGGTGGGTTTGTGGGGTTTAGGGGGGGTTTGGGGGGGGGGGGTTGGAGGGTCCCGGGGGGATTTGGGGGTCTCTGATGGGGGGGTGCAGCCCTGCAGATGGGACTTGGGGGGTCAGGGATGGTTTGGGGGGGTCCCGGGGGGTCAAGGTTGGTTTGGGGGGATCTCGGATGGTTTAGGGGGGTCCCGGGGGGGATCAGGGATGGTTTGGGGGTCCCGGGGGGGGGTCTGGGTTGGTTTGGGGGGGGTCCCAGGGGATCAGGGATGGTTTGAGGTGTTCAGGGATGGTTTGGGGGTCCGGGGGGGGTCAGGGTTGGTTTGGGGGGTTCAGGGTTGGTTTTGGGGGATCAGGGATGGTTTTGGGGGATCAGGGTTGGTTTTGGGGGTCCCTGACAGGGCGTGCAGCCCCGCAGGTGGCAGCCGGGGGGTCAGGGTTGGTTTGGGGGATCAGGGTTGGTTTGGGGGTATCAGGGTTGGTTTTGGGGGGTCAGGGATGGTTTTGGGGGGTCAGGGTTGGTTTTGGGGTCCCTCACAGGGGGTGCAGCCCCGCAGGTGGCAGCCGGGGGGTCAGGGTTGGTTTTGGGGTATCAGGGTTGGTTTTGGGGGTCCCTGACAGGGGGTGCAGCCCTGCAGGTGGCAGCCGAGGGGTCAGGGTTGGTTTGGGGGGGGGTCAGGGTTGGTTTGGGGGGGGTCAGGGTTGGTTTTGGGGGTCCCTGACAGGGGGTGCAGCCCCGCAGGTGGCAGCCGGGGGGTCAGGGTTGGTTTTGGGGGGTCAGGGTTGGTTTGGGGGTATCAGGGTTGGTTTTGGGGGGTCAGGGTTGGTTTTGGGGGGTCCCTGACAGGGCGTGCAGCCCCGCAGGTGGCAGCCGGGGGGTCAGGGTTGGTTTTGGGGGGTCAGGGTTGGTTTGGGGGGGGTCAGGGTTGGTTTTGGGGGGTCAGGGATGGTTTTGGGGGTCCCTGACAGGGGGTGCAGCCCCGCAGGTGGCAGCCGGGCATCCAGGACCCGCGGCGGGGGATGGTGGTGTGGGTGGTGCCCGAGACCCTCGAGGTGGTCGTGACCCTGTACCGGGTACGTGCGACCCCCCCGGCCCCCCCCCGTGTCCCCAAACCCCCCTGGGGTGTCCCCGACCCCCAGTGACCCCCCCGTGCCCCCCAGGACCCCCAGGCTGCCGCCTTCGATGACAAAACCTGGAACTTCCTCGTGGTCAACGTGAGGGGGGCGGCGCCACCCCAAAATGGGGAGGGGACCCCAAAAATGGGGGCGGGGGGGGGGCACAACAGGAACAATGGGGGAGAAGCCGGGGGGTCCCTGTGGGTCCCCTGGGTGACACTGGGGTGACATCGGGGTGCCTTTGGGTGGGGGATATTGGGGTGCCCTGGGGGTACCTGGGGGTCCCTCAGTGACATCGGGGTCCCCTGGGGGTCATTGGGTGACATTGGGTGGCATCAGGGTCCCCTGGGGTGGCTGACACTGGGGTCCCCGGGTGTCCCTTGGGTATCCCCTGGATGTCCCTGGGTATCCCCTGGGTATCCCCTGGGCATCCTCTGGGTGTCCCCTGGCTGTTCCCTGGCTGTCCCCAGGTGTCCCCGTGCCCCTGACCCGTGGTGTCCCCAGGTGTCCCCAGCTGTCCCCGGTGTCCCCAGGTGTCCCTGTGCCCCTGACCCATGGTGTACCCAGCCGTCCCCGGTGTCCCCAGCTGTCCCCGGTATCCCCAGCTGTCCCCGTGCCCCTGACCCATGGTGTCCCCAGCTGTCCCCAGTGTCCCCAGCTGTCCCCGGTGTCCCCGCAGGAGTCCCGGGGCCGGCGCTCGGTGGTGGCCGCGGCCCCGCTGGAGCTGGGGCGCCTGGCGGGGGTCGGGGACACCCCCCTGTCCCTGTCCCTGCGCCCCCGGACCCGCAAGGTGACAACGGCCACGCTGAGGCTGCGGCTGCGCGGGCTCGTCCTGATGGAGGGACACCCCACGTACGGCTCTGGGGACACTGCGGGGACAGGGGGGACAGGGGGGACATTGGGGACATTGGGGACATTGTGGGGACATTGGGGACAGGGGGGCATTGGGGGATTGGGGACATTAAGGGGACATTGACGGTTTGGGGACACTGGGGACATTGAAGGGACAAAGGAGGAGTGGGGACATTGAGGGGACATTGCGGGTTGGGGACATTGAGGGGACATTGGGGACATCAGGGACAGGGGACACTGCTGGGACATTGGGGGGACAGCGAGGACATCGTGGGGACATTGGGGAAATGGGGACATCGAAGGGACATTGGGGACATTTGGTACATCATGGGGACATTGGGGACACTGGGAGGACATTGGGGACACTGGGGGGACATTGGGGACATTGAGAGGACACAGTAACTTTGGCGTCATTGCGGGGGTGATCTTGGGGACACTGAGGGACTTTGGGGACATTTGGTGTCCAGGGAGGGTCCCCATGCGGGCTGGGGGGGGGCCTTGGGGACCCCTTGGGGACGCCCCTGGTGACCCTGTCCCCCCCCAGGGACGAGGACATGCAGAGCGTCACCAGCCTGAGCCCCCCCGGGGACGTGGCCGACCTGGGGGACTTCGAGAGTGACCCCGAGGATGGGGGGGCGCACAGGGCGGGGGGCGCCCCCCCCGTGTCCCGAGGTGAGTCCCCAAGGTGTCCCCAAGGTGTCCCCAAGGTATCCCCAATGTGTCCCCAACGCCCCCCCCGTGTCCCCCCAATGCTGGGGCTGTCCCTGGATTGGGGGGGGGGGTCCCTGACCGGCCTCTCCCCCCCCAGCGCCCCCCCCCAGAGGGGACCCCCCCAATTGGGGGACACAGAGGGACCCCCCAGAGCCGGGGGGGGACCCAGAGACCCCGCCCGAAATGACTGCGGTGAGTGGGGGGGGGGCGTGGGGACCCCTGAATTTGGGGGGAGGAGGAATTTGGGGACCCCCTGAATGGAGGGGGGGGGTCCCATGGGGGTGGGAGGGGTGTTTGGGGCTCTTCTGCCCCCCCCATTTTGGGTCTGGGGGGATCTCTCTGTATTGGGAAGGGTCTCTGGGTTCTGGGGGGGGTCTCTGTATTGGGGGGGGGGTCTTTGTGTGCTGGGGGGGTCTCTGGGTTCTGGGGGTGTCTCTCTATATTGGGAGGGGCCTCTGGGTTCTGGGGGGGTCTCTGGGTTTTGGGGGGAATCTCTCTGTATTGGAGGGGGGGCTCTGCGTTCTGGGGGGGGTCTCTGGGTTCTGGGGGGGTCTCTCTATATTGGGAGGGGTCCTCTGGGTTTTGGGGGGGTCTCTCTGTGCTGACCCCCCCCCCGTACCCCCCCAGGACCCCCCCGGGGGTCGCGGGGCGCTCCTGGCCTGGTGCCGGGGGGTCACGGCCGGGTACCCGGGGGTCTCCGATCACCGATTTCGGGGGCTCCTGGAGCAGTGGGTTGGGGTTCTGCGCCCTCCTGCACCGCCTGAGACCCCGAGAGATGTGAGGGGGGGGCGCGGGGGGGGGGAGAGGGGCTGGGGGGGCACCCGGCGGGGGGGGGCAGGAGGGTACGGGAGGGGGTTTGGGGAGCACATGAGGGGTTTTGGGGGGTCCTGGGGGGTTTGGGGGGTCACAGTTGGATCCTGGGGGGTTTATGGGGGTCCTGGGGGGGTCACAGGTGGGTCCTGGAGGGTTTGTGGGGGACATGGGGGGGGATTGTGGAGGGTTTGGGGGGGTCCTTGGGGGTTGTCCTGGGGAGTTTGGGGGGTCCTGAAGGTTTGGGTGGGCCTTGGGGTTTTATTTGGGGGAGGGGGGTTGAGAAGCAATTGGGGGGGGCACCCATGGATGGGGGGTCACAGCACCCCTGGGATGTTGGGGGGACCCTTTTGGTGGTGGGGAGGGGGGGGTTGGGGTCACTTGGGGACCCCCTCAGTGACCAAAGCCCCCCTCCATGCCCTCCCCCCGCAGTGATTTCCACGCTCTGGACCCCCGGGACCACCGGGCCAACAACAAACGGGTGCGTGGGGGGGGCTGGGGGGCCGGGGGGGCTCCAAGCCTGGGGGTCCCCCCCCCACCTTGACCCCCCCCCCCCCCCCTTCCCCCCCAGGCCTTCGATGCCTTCGCGGCCCTGGGGGTCCCGCGGCTCCTGGACCCCTCGGACATGGAGACCCCCGACAGCCTGGGGGTCATGACCTTCCTCAGCCAGGTCCGGGCGCTCCTGGGGACCCCCCCGGGGACCCCCCCGGACCCCCGGAGCGGCTCCATCGAGGGGGGGAGACCCCCGGAGTCACCGAGTGACGTCACCGAGGGGGGGCCCCAAAGGACCCTCCTGGAGACCCCCCTGGACTCTCAGAGTGACGTCATCGAGGGGGGACCCCAAACGACCCCCCCCGGGGACCCCCCCAGGTTCCCAGAGTGACGTCATCGAGGGGGGACCCCAAACGACCCCCCCGGGGGACCCCCCCGGACTCTCGGAGTGACGTCACAGAGGGGGGGCCCCAAAGGACGCCCTCGGGGACGCCCCCGCCCCCCCAGAGCGGCTCCATTGAGGAGGAGCCCCCAGAGACCCCCCGGGACCCCCAGACCCCCCCAGAGACCCCAACCAGGCCCCCCCCAGAACCCCAAATCAGCGTCACTGAGGGGGGGCCCCAAGAGGCCCCCCCAGAGCCCCCCCAGACGGACACTGAGCAGGGGGAGACCCCCCCAGAACCCCCCCAGCGCGGCCCCACCGAGGGGGGAGCGCCCCCAGACCCCCCAATGGAGGGGGAGCCCCCCCAGGACCCCCCCCCTGCCAGAGCCGAGGGGGGGCCCCCGCCCAGCCCCCGCCGGGACCCCCCAAACTGAGACTCTGCAGGAGGGGGGGAGCCCCCCCCGGGACCCCCAGCTCGGCCCCGTTGAGGGGGAGCCCCCCCAGGACCCCCCCCCAGCATTTGGGGAGGGGGCGCCTGTGCCGGAGTCCCTCCCCCGCCCCCCCCGGCCCGCGGGGGTGGGGAGGGGTCTCCCCACGCCCCCCCCCCGCTCCAGGAGCTTCCCCCGCCTGCGGGACCCCCCCCCAAAGGTGAGACCCCCCCCCCACCAGAGACGAGCCCCAAAATGCCCCCCCCGACCCCCCCTGACCCCTCCTGACCCCCCCTCTGTCCCCAGGGTGACGTCGGGACCCCCCCCGCCCCTCCCCCCTCCGGTGAGCCCAGGGGGGAGTCGGGGTCACCCCCGTGTCCCCCCCCAGAGACCCCCAGGGAGCCCCCGGAGACCCCCGAGGAGGAGAGCGGGGTAAGGGACATGGGGGGGGACATGGGGACAATGGGGGGGACACTGGGGACAATAGAGGGGGACACTGGGGACAATGGGGGGGACATGGGGACAATAGAGGGGGACATTGGGGACACCACTGGGGACACGGGGGGGACACTGGGGACAATAGAGGGGGACATTGGGGACAATAGAGGGGGACATTGGGGACACCACTGGGGACATGGGGGGGACCCTGGGGACAATGGGGGACAATGGGGACATTGCGGGAGGGGCAGGGACAGCCACAGGTGGCACACGGTGACCCCGATGTCCCCTCGGTGACAGGGACAGTGGGTGGCAGCCGAGCTGCTGGCCCTGGAGCAGGAGCAGGCCCGGTTGGACTCTCAGGCCCCGGCGCTGGAGCGGGAACTGCGGGAGCTGATGGACAGCGGTGAGGGGACAGTGAGGGGACACTGGGGACACTGGGGGACATTGGGGGGACAGGGGGATGTTGGGGACAGGGGTTATGAGGACAAAAAGGGGGCATTGGGGACACCGGGCATTGAGAAAAGGGCAAAAGAGGGACAGAAGGGGGACATCATGGGGACACCAAGGGGACATCATGGGGACATCATGGGGATGTCGAAACATTGGGGGCACATGGCCCACAATGTCTCTCATGTCCTCCTGATGTCCCCAATATCCCTCAATGTCCTCGATGTCCCCAATGTCTCGCTGTCTCCAATGTCCCTGATGGCCCCCAATGTCCCTGATGTCCCCAATCCCCCCAATGTTCCCACTGTCCCCAATGTCCCAATATCCCCCAGTATCCCCCAATATCCCCAATCCCCCCGATGTCCTCTCAACGTCCCCAATGTCCCCAATGTCCCCGCTGTCCCCGTGTCCCCAGGCGCGGACCCCGCCCGCGAGGAGCGGCTGCTCCGGGCCTGGTTCTCGCTGGTGCAGCAGCGGAATTTGCTGGTGCGGCGCCAGGACCAGCTGCAGCTGCTGTGAGGGGACAGCGGCGACCCCGCGGGGACATCGCGGTGACACCGCGGTGACATCGCCACCCTCCCCCCGTGTCCCCTCCCTGTGCCCCCCCCCGTGTCCGGGACACTGCAGGGGGGGCTCTGCCAGCTCTGGTGACACCTCCTTGTCCCCTTTTGTCCCTTTTTGTGTCCCCTCGTGTCACCCCCAGGGCGCAGGAGCGGGACCTGGAGCGGCGCTTTGAGCTGCTGAGCCGGGAGCTGCGGGGGCTGCTGGGGACAGAGGGTGTGACAATGGGGACAGGGGGGACATGGGGACAGGGGGGACATCGAGGGACAGGGGAACAGGGGGACACTGCGAACAGGGGAACACTGGGACATCGAGGGGACACTGGGGACAGGGGGGACATTGGGGAGGGGGAACACTGGGGACATCGAGGGGACACTGGGGACATTGGGTACATGGAGGGGACATTGTGGGCACATCGGGGATAGGAGAGGATGGAGGGACATCAGGGACAAAGGGTGGGATGGGGACATTGGGGATGGCAGGAGGACATTTGGGGACACTGGGGTTGGGGGTAGGACACGGTGGGGACATCGGGCGGGACAGGGGGACATTTGGGGACACTGGCGATGGGGGAGGACATTTGGGGGGACAGGAGGACATTTGGGGACACTGGGGATGGGGGAGGACATTTGTGGGGACATCGGAGGGGACAGGAGGACATTGGGAACGCTTGGGGACATCTGGGGACATGAACACGGCGGGTGCCTGGCACAGACGGAGGCAATGGGAGAGGAGGACAAAGAGCTTTGGGGACCTTTTGGGGACCTTTTGAGGGACATTTGGGGACCTTTTGGGGGACATTTGGGGACCCCTCCAGAGTGGCAGAAGCCGCCGGCGCAGCGCGAGCGCGAGCAGCTCTTACTGGAGGAACTGGTGGCACTGGTGAACCGGCGGGACCGGCTCGTGCAGGACCGGCACCGCCGCGAGAGCAGGTGGGGACACCATGGGGACAGCGTGGGGACAGCGGGGGGGACACCATGGGGACACCGGGGGGACACCGTGGGGACACCATGGGGACACCGGGGGGACACCGTGGGGACAGCGGGGAGGGGTCTCGGCGGGTTTGGGAGGCGTTTGGGGGGTTCATGGGTGGCCCGGGGAGCTCCTGGGGGGGCTTTGGGATTGTCCGGGGGTCTTGAGGTGGATGCGGAGGGGTCGGGGGGATCCTGGGGGGGGTCCCGGGGGGTTTTTTGGGGTTCCCCCCCTGCCCGACGCCCCCCGACCCCCGCAGGGCGCTGGAGGAGGATGAGGAGCTGCGGCGGAGCCTCGAGCCCCGGCGGCGCCGCTTCGGCCGCAGGGAAACGTGCGGGATCTGCTGAGGGACCCCCCCGGGAACCCCCAAAATCCCCGGGACCCCAACATCCGCCGGGACCCCCCCTTCCTCCCCCGGGACCCCCCAGATCCGGGTGGATGCGGCAATAAAGGAGAATTTCTGTGTGAAATCCGATTGGGGAAACTGGGATGGACTGGGATGGACTGGGATGGATTGGGAGGGATTGGGGGGTCCTGGGTCCCCCCGGGTGTTATTTTTGGGGGGGGGTTTGAGCTCTAACCCCTCCATGAGACTCTTGTGGTGCTCAGGGGGGTTTTATTTGAGTCTGTGGGGTCTGGGGGGCTCAGACCCCCCCCCAAATCCTTATGGGGGAGAGGTCGGACCCCCAAATCCTTGTGCAGGGGGGAAGGGGGCTGAGACCCCCCCCAAATCCTCATCCGGGGGTCTCTCCCCATCCCTCGTCCCAGGGTCCGTCCAGGGGCAGTTCACACCCTGGGGGGGGGGGGAATAGAGGAGCTGTTGCCATGGCAACAGGATACCCCCCCCCCAAACCCCTGACCCCCCCCCACTCCCAACCCCAGACCCCCCAAAACCTCCCCCAAAACCCTGACTCCACCCAAAACCCCCTCAGCCCCCCCAATTCCTCCCAGTTTTGGGGTCCCCCTCAAATCCCCGACCTCCCCAGACCCCCAATTTCGGGATCCCTCCCCAAATTCCTGAATAATCCCCCCAAACCCCTTGAACCCCCAAATTTTGGGGACTCCCCCCAATCCCCCCGAGCCCCCCAACCCCCCAATTTTGGGGTCCCCCTCTCTCTCACGGTGCGGCCGCAGCTGCAGAACACGCAGGAAATATTTGGGGGGGATCCGGCCCTGGGCGTCCCCCGGCGTCAGGATCACCCCATTGGCCGAGCGGAAAAAGGGGATCCCGTCTGTGGGGAGGGGTCGGGGGGGTCACACGGACATCGGGGGGGACCCCCAAACATCGGGGACCCCCCCACATATCGGGAACACCCCCAAAACTCCGGACCCTCCCTCACCCGCCAGAGCCCGGGGGCCGTCGATGATGATGGCGATCTCCGAGTCCGACCTCATCCCTGTGGGGAGGGGGATTTTGGGGGCTCCTGGGCGGTTTTGGGGGGTCCTGAGGGGTTTTGGGGGGTCCTGAGGAGCTTTGTGAGGATCTGGGGGGCTTCAGGGGGGAGGTTTGGGGGTCTCGAGGAGGATTTGAGGTGTTTGAGGGGTCCTAGAAGGGGATTTGGGGAGGCTACAGGAAGGATTTGGGGGTGCCAAAGAGGTTTGGGAGCTTTGGCGGGGGGGTTCTTGAGGGGTTTAGGGGGGCCCTGCTGAGTTTTGGGGAATTTTTGGGGGTGCCCCGGGTTCTTTTTGGGGAGGGGTCGCACACCAGGGTCCACCCCGCCAGGTGAGTGCGGGGTCTCTGTGGGGTTTGGGGGTCTCGGGGGTTTTTGGGGTGTCCCGGGGGAGGTTTTTTGGGGGGGGGGGTCACTCACCGCTGCGCACGCCGGGGTCCCCCGGCAGCCCCCCCGCCAGGTGCAGGTGTTGCCGCCCCATGGGGCGCAGCCCCCCCGCCCGGATCGGGCCCCACAGGCGGCGCCGGGTGCCGTGCGCGAGGGTCGGGGGCAGCGCCTCGGGGGTGCGCAGGGGCGTCAGCTCCAGATCCGGCACCTGCGACCCCCGGACACGCCCCCCGGAGCAGCTGAGACCCCCAAAATCCAACCCCGGATCTCCAAAATCCAACCCCGGACCCCCAAAATCCAACCCCGGATCCCCAAAACCCCACCCAGATCTCTAAAATCCCGCCCCGGATCTCCAAAATCCAACCCGGGACCTCCAAAATCCCACGCAGATCCTCAAAATCCAACCCAGGCTTCCCAAAATTTTCCTCGAGACACCCAAAATCCCACCCAAAATTCCACAAATCCCACCCGGGATGCCCGAAACTCCTCTCCAGATCCCCCCGTCCTCTCAGAGCCCCCCAAAATCCCCCATCAATTCCTCAAATCCCTTTTCCAGTCCCCCGAGTCCCCCATAAACTCCCCAAAATCCCCAATAACCCCCCCAAATGCCCTCTCCAGCCCCCCGAAACCCCTCAAGGATCCCCCCAGACCCCTCGGGGACCCCCCTACACCCCTCGGGACCCCCCAAAATCCCCCGTAAATCCCCCCAAATCCCCATAACCCCCCCCAAATGCCCTCTCCAGCCCCCCGAAACCCCTCGGGGACCCCCCCAGACCCCTCAGGGATACCCCTAGACCCTTCGGGACTCCCCAAGATCCCCCATAACCCCCCCCAAATCCCCTCTCCAGCCCCCCCAAACCCCCTGAGGACCACCCAGACCCCTCGGGACCCCCCAAAATCCCCCATAAACCCCCCCAAATCTCCTCTCCAGCCCCCCCAGACCCCTCGGGGACCCCCCCAGACCCCTCGGGGACCCCCCCTCACCGGCAGGGAGTGCCCCTGGTTGGCCCTGACCCTCAGGGGGTCCGGCCGGAGGGTGAAGCGACCCTTGGGGTCAGCGGCCACCACCCTGCGCACGTCGCTCTCCGAGACCCCCGCGAAGCGCCGCAGCCGCAGCAGAGCCCCCACCTCAACAAATCCATCTGAGCCCAAAATCCCCCCCGGGACCCCCGTCAGGCCTTTGGGGGGGTCTCCGGGGGGATTTAGGGCGTCCCTGGGGGTGTTTGGGGTGTCCCTGGGGGTGTTTGGGGCGTCCCTGGGGGTGTTTTGGGGGTCTCAGGGGGTGTTTTGGGGTCCCAAAAGGATTTGGAAGGTCCCAGAGGCATTTGGGGTGTCTCAAGGGGCATTTAGGGTGTCCCAGGGGGCATTTTGGGGATTTTGGGGGGTCCAAAAGAGTATTTGGGGTGTCCCAGGGGATGTTTTGGGGGTCCTAAAAGGATTTGGGGTGTCGCAGGGAACATTTCGGAGAATTTGGGGTATCCCAGGGGGTGTTTTGGGGGTCCCAAAAGACTCGTGGGGTGTCTTAAGGAATGTTTTGGGGTATTTTGGGGTGAGTTTTGGAGGATTTTGGGTTAGGTTTTTGGGAGATTTTGGGGTGGGTTTGGGGGGGGAGATTTTGGGGAATTTTGGGGTGGGTTTTGGGGGATTTTGGGGTAGGTTTTGGGGGATTTTGGGGTGGGTTTTGGGGTCTCACGCACCCGGGCCCATGGGCAGCCCCTCGGCCTCGGCCCCGTGGCGCAGGACGTAGCTCAGGGCCTTGGACAGCCGCACCCCGGGGTCCTGGGGGGACCCAAAGGTGACCCCAACCCCCCCCTGGAGACCCCCAACCCATCCTGGGTGACCCCAACCCACCCCTAGGCATAGCCCACAGCCCCCCCACCAATCTTAGACCCCCAATCTTTGACCCCCTCCCCAAATTAAGCTTCAAATGCCCCTCCCCCTTCAGTACCTCCCCCTTCCCCAATTCCTGGACCCCCCCTAAATCCCCCCCGCGCATTTCTGGGTCCCCAACGTGTTGTTCCCCCCTCCCCACTTTGATGTCCCCCGCCCCGTGTCCCCCCCTCACCCACGGGGTGTCCTTCCCCTTGGGTCCCCCCTCCGGCTCGGTGTCCTTGTCCCCTCCCCTCCCAGAATTCGTGTCCCCCCCCCCATTTTTGGGGTTCTTGCCCTCTCCCCTTCCCATGTCCCCCCTCCTTGCGGTGTCTCCCCCCTCCTTGTGGTGTCCTTGTCACCTCTCCCCCGTGTCCCCCCCCGACCCCCCCCATGTCCCCACCCCCTGTGAAGTGTCCCCAACCCAAATCTGGGGTCCCCTCCCCAAATTTTGGGGTCCCCCCGCCCCCTCCCCACCTCCTCCTTCCGCCGCCGCCGCCGCTGGGCGGCGCTCGCGCCCTCCCCGCCGGCCATGCCGGGCCACGTGACCGCGCGGCTCTCGCGCCACGTGACCTCCCGGCCCCGCCCCCCGCATGACCCCGCCCCTCCGGCGCCGCGTGACTCCGCCCCCCCACGCCACGTGCCGGCGCTGTCACGTGTCCCCCTCACGGATTCCCGACTTCACCAAGCGCGGTCGTTGCGGGTCTGGGGGTTTTTATTACCGATCCCCCTCCCCACAAAAAAAAAAAAAAACCAAAGGGGATTTTTCCCCCCGTCCCCTCCTCCAGGGCCCCCTCCCCACCCCTCAGTCGAGTTTCCGAGCCCCCAGTTTTTGGGGGCCCCGCGGACCCGCCCGGCGCTTGGCCTCGAGCTCCCGGCGCCGCTGCTGCTCCCGCTGCCGCCTGCCCGGTGGGGGCCCTGAGGGGACACGGAGGTCACCGGGGGAGTGGGATGGGGAAAAACGGGGGTCAGGGGGATCAGAGGGACGAGTGGGGGGGACAGGTGTGTCACAAGGGGGGACAGGGAGCGTGAGGCCCTGAGGGGGTCCCAGGGAATGGGGATTCAGGGGGATGGAGGGGTCTGGGGGTTCAGAGGGCGTTGGGGGAGCCATCTGGGGGGCGTCTGGGGTCCCAAGGACACTAGGGAGGGGTCCTGGGAGGCTGGGGAGCCCCTCAGGGGCATTGAGGCGTTCTGGGGAAGGATCCCAAGGGGTTTTGGGGGGTCCCGGGGGGTGGTGGGGGCACCCCCGGGCAGTGCTGGGGGGAATTTGGGGAGATCTCTGGGGGTGTCTGGGGGGTCGAAGATGACTGGGGTGACCTGGGTGGGTCCTGGGGATGTTGTGGGGATCCTGGGTGGGTCTGGAGGTTCCAGGGGGTGTCTGGGGCTGTTCGGGGGGGGGTCCCAGGTGGGTCTGGGTGTCCCGGGTGGGTCTGGGGGTGTCCCGGGGGGGGTCTCACCGTGCTGGCTGGGCAGCGCCTCCCAGGCGTCCTCAGTGCCCCACTCGCCCCCCACCCCCCACCCCCCCTCACCCTCATCACCCCCCCCGGCCGGGGGAGGGGCGCTGGGGGGGGGCTCTGTGGGGGTGGGGGGCTGCGGGGGGGTCCCCAATTCCTCTGGGCTGCTGGCGGGGGGGCTCCGGGGCAGCTCCATGTCCTGGGAGGGAGGGGAGGGGGTACAGAGCTGATGAGATGGGGAGGGGTCACACTGTACCCCCCCCCCCCCAAAATGTGACCCCCACCCCCTCAAAACTCACCTCCAGACTCCCCCAATCATCATCCCACCCATCGGCGTCTTCCAGGGGGGGCTCCTCGGGGGGCGTCTCCTCGCTGGGGGGTTCTTGGGGGGGCAAAATGAGGGCTTAGGGGGGGTCCCCAAGGCTGGGAGGGGTCCCCAAGGCTGGGGGGCTCAGGAATTTTGGGGGGGGGGGATTAAAGGGGGAGGGTAACTCACCTTTTGGGGGGGCCGCAGGGCTCTCGGCCGGGGTCTGTGGGGGTCCCAGCGTGGGGGGGGGCTGTGCCGGAGCCGCCCCCCCCTCGCCCCCCATCAGCCGGGCGGTCAGGGAGGTGACACCGGTGACAGCCCAGGACACGGCTGCCCCCAGCCCCCCCGCGCCCCCCCCCGGCACGGCGGCGGTGCTGGGGGTGTCTGCAGGAGGGAGGGGAGGGGGTCACGGGGTGGGGGGGGGACACCCCAAAACCACCTCTGTGTCCCCCCCACCCCCATTTCCCCCACCCCATCCCAATTCCTTCCCTTTCCCCCAGACCTTCATTTCTCCCCCCTGCCCACAATTTTAGGTCCCCTCCCCACAGTTTTTGGTTCCGCTGCCCCCAGTTTTTCCCCCCTCCCCACAATTTGTGCCCCCCCCCCGCAGTTTCTCACCGCCCTCCTGGACCGCCCCGGCCTCGGCCGCTGCCTCCAGCTGCTCCAGGAAGCTGCGAATGGCCCGGAACGCCTGGGGGGGGCAGGGGGACCCCAACAGTGAGAGACCCCCTGGAGCCCCCCCGCCCCTTCATAGCACCCTGCCCCCACCAAGGAGTCTCTCAATTTCTCCGGGACCCCCCCCCTCAAATTGCTCTGGGACCCCCCCTCAGCACCATGAGCACCCCCCTAATTGCCATGGGAGCCTCCTCAGCACCCCCTACTTTGAGACCCCCCCTCAGTGAGACCCCCAACCCATTTCAATGGGAGCTGCAGCACCCAAACCCCCTCCCCAATTCCTCTGTGTCCCTCCCACCCCCTCCCCAATTCCTCTGTTCCCTTCTATCCCCCTTGAAACCCCCTCCCCAATTCCTCTGTGCCCTCCCCAGCACCCAAACCCCCTCCCCTGTTCCTCTGGGTCCCTCCCCCACACCCAGCCCCCTCCCCAAATTCCCCCAGCCCCCTCCCCGCCCTCACCTGCTGCCGAACCCCGGGGTGGGGGTCCACGGTGAGGGCGCACAGGGGGGGCAGCACCCGGGCCGCCACCTCGGCGGGGGCGTAGAAGCTGTGGGTGGCGGCGAAGGCGGCAACGGCCGCGGCCCGGGCCGGGGGGAAGGGATCCCGGGTGGCCCTGGCCAGGGCGGGGGCCAAAACCCGCCGGCGGGTCTGGGGGGACATGGGGACAGTCAGGGGGACACAGAGGGGGAGACACAGAGGGAGGGGGGACAGGGGGACAGTGAGAGGGGGGACAGGGGAGGGTGAGGGGGCACAAGGGGACAGTCAGGGGGACACAGAGGGGGAATGGAACAGGGTACAGTGAGAGGGGACAGGGGACAAGATCTGGGGCGTGACAGGGGGACAATGAGGTGGAACAGTGAGGGGAGGGGACAGGGGAAAGGGGTCCCAGGTGGCCCAGACCAAGGTAGGGAGTCTGGAAGTGGGGGGCACAGGGGAAAATAGGTACTGGTTCACTGTAGAGGGGTTTTGGGGGGGTTCAGGGGGTGTCAGAGCTCACCTGGGCGGGCAGGTGGGGGGCCAGGCGCCCCAGGCACAGCAGGGGGGGTTCAGGGGGGATTTTGGGGGGTTCAGGGGGTGTCAGAGCTCACCTGGGCGGGCAGGTGGGGGGCCAGGCGCCCCAGGCACAGCAGGGGGGGTTCAGAGGGGGTTCAGGGGGTGTCAGAGCTCACCTGGGCGGGCAGGTGGGGGGCCAGGCGCCCCAGGCACAGCAGGGGGTGTTTTGGGGGGTTCAGGGGGTGTCAGAGCTCACCTGGGCGGGCAGGTGGGGGGCCAGGCGCCCCAGGCACAGCAAGGGGGGTTTTGGGGGGGTTCAGGGGGGGTTCAGGGGGTGTCAGAGCTCACCTGGGCGGGCAGGTGGGGGGCCAGGCGCCCCAGGCACAGCAAGGGGGGTTTTGGGGGGGTTCAGGGGGGGTTCAGGGGGTGTCAGAGCTCACCTGGGCGGGCAGGTGGGGGGCCAGGCGCCCCAGGCACAGCAAGGGGGGTTTTGGGGGGGTTTTGGGGGGTTCAGGGGGTGTCAGAGCTCACCTGGGCGGGCAGGTGGGGGGCCAGGCGCCCCAGGCACAGCAGAGGGGGTTCAGGGGGGGTTCAGGGGGTGTCAGAGCTCACCTGGGCGGGCAGGTGGGGGGCCAGGCGCCCCAGGCACAGCGTGGCGTTGCAGCGCAGGGGTCCCAGCGCGTCCCCACCCTGCACCCGCAGCAGCAGCCGGGGCAGCTCCCCCCCCCTGCGCCCCTCCCCCAGCTTGGGCGCCAGCAGCACCATGGACTGGGGGGGAGGGGGGGGACAAACAGAGGGGGGGGTCAGGGAGCACCCCCAGATGGGATTTGGGGGGGATCCAACCCATTTGGGGGTGCCCAGGTGGTTGGGGGAGTCCCACCCGTCTTGGTGGATATGGAAGGAGGTTCCCAGGTTATTGGGAGAGGGGGCTCCAGGAGATTGAAAAGTTCTGCCCATTTGGGGGCGTCCCCACTGAGTCCCATCCATTTTGGGGGGTCCCCACTCAGTCCCACCCATTTAGGGACTACCCAGGTGATTTGGGGGTGTTCCCCGGTGAGTTTGGGGTTTGTTATTTGATTTTTAGAAAAGTTTCCAGGTGGTTTTGAGGGATCCCCAGGTAACTTTTGGGAGAGTCCCAGGAAGTCTGGAGGGCCTGGGTGATTTGGGTCCAGGAGATTCTGTGGGTCCTGGGTTATTTTTTGGGGGGGTCCAGGATGATTTTGGGGGCCCACCTTGACCGTCTGCTCGCGGATGGCCGGGTTGGAGTCCAGGAACCCGTGGGCAACGTGGGGGAAAATTTGGGAATCCACCGTGGCCTCAGGCAGGAACTCAATGTACTCCTCGAGCTGGGCATGGGGGGATTGTGAGAGCCCTGAACACCCCCAGGGACCCCAAAAACCATGGATCACCCCCGCCATGGACCCCCCAAACCCCATAGAGCCCCCCCTCAATCCCTCCCAGTCTGATCCCAGACTCTCCCAGTCCTTCCCACTGCCTCCCAGTGCTCCAGTCCCTCCCAGTCCTTCCCAGTCCCTCCCAGTCCCATCCCAGTCCCTCCCAGTTCTTCCCAGTCCCATCCCAGCACTCCCAGTCCCATCCCAGTCCCATCCCAGTGCTCCCAGTCACCAGCTGCAGCAGGCGCAGGCGCAGGCCCCGCTCAGGGGACGAGAAGAGCCGGACGAGGACGGGGACGATTCGCTCCTGGTACTCGGGGGGGTCCAGGACCTTCGCCACCTGGGGGGACAGGGGGGACACCAGGGGGCTATGGGGGTTACTGGGGGGGATTTTGGTGGGGTCCCACCTGCAGCAGGGGGGGCAGGGAGGTTGTGGGTGGGATTTTGGGTTTCAGGGATGTTTTAGGGGGGCGTTTTGGGGGGGTCCCACCTGCAGCAGGGGGGGCAGGGCGCTGGCATCGGCACTGCCCAGCTCCAGGGCCTCGAGCAGCCTCGGGAGCAGTTTGTGCCTCCGGAAGGGCCCCGGGAGGGACTCCAGGAGAGGGGGCAGCTCCTGCAGGAACGTCCGGCGCTCCGAGGGGTCCCGGACCTGCCAGGGGGTCCCAGAAACACCCAGAGGGGTCAGGGGGGACAGCACAGGATGGGGAGGATGATGGGGATGAAGATGAGGAAGAGGATGAAGGAATAGGAGTGAAGAGGATGATGATGAGGGGACAGGGATGGGAAGAGGATGAGGATGAAAGAATAGGGATCAAAGGATGAGGATAAAGGAACAGGAATGAACATGGGAATGAGGATGAGGATGAAGGAATGGATCAGGAGACAGCGATAGGGATGAGGATGATGATGGGGATGAGGAGCACGATGATGAAATAGAGATGAGGATGAGGCTGAAGACAAGAACAGGACGAGGATAAAAGGACAGGAATTAACATGGGAATGCGATGAATGCTGAAGCCACACCTGGAAGTGCTCGAGGAAGAGCCCAGTGCGCACCAGGGCACAGGCCAGGAAGGCTCCAGGGCGCTGCAGCTGCTCCAGGAGCGGCCCCGGGCCCGGCCGGGCCCCCGGATCTGCCGCCACCAGCTCTGAGAAGGGCGGGATGAGCCCGGGGGGCAGCTGGGGGGACAGGGGGGACACGGGGTCAGGGACACCCCAAGGGCTGGGGGGACACGGGGGACACAGGGGGGGCACGAGGTCAGGGACACCCCAAGGGCTGGGGGGACAGGGGAACCCCTGAGCCTGGGGGGGGTTCTGGGGGTGAGCAGGAATTGGGTGGATCCACAAGTCTGGGGGGATCCCGGGTGTTTGGGGGTGCCCAGGGGGTCCCCAGGATTTTGGGGGGGGGTCCCTGACCTTGCCGAAGCTGCGCAGAGCCCCCGGCCGGGGGAGGGGTCCATTGAAGACCTCCCAGATGAGGCAGCCCAGGCGCCACATGTCCCCTGCCCTGGGGGGGCCGTGACAGTGGGGAGGGGGCACAGGGGACCCCGTGGTCCCCTGAACCCCCCCAATGCCACCCCTGTCCCCCTTTCCATGTCCCAACTCACCAGGGGTCCCCCTTCCCTCGGGAGGGGTCGCTGAGCTCGGGGGGCTCCTGGGGCCGGGGGGGGTCACTGGGGGGGCGGCTGGGGGTCCCCTCACTGGTGGCCGCCACCCTCTCGAGCCCCCCCAGCTTCCACTCGCCCCCGGGGTCCACGAAGACGGCGTCGAGTCCCAGCGCGTGGTGAACGAGCCCCGAGACCCCCAGGAACGCCAGCGCCGTCTGGGGGGGGCAAAAGACCCCCCAAAATCGGTAACCCCCCCTTCACAAAAGGAACCCCTCCCACCCAGGAGCCAAAAACGTCTCAGAAACCTCCCCTGGAGACCCCCCCCCCAAAATCCCGGGGATCCATCCCCCCACACACCTGGGCCCATCCAGATATTGGGGTCCCCCTCACACCCCCTGATTGCAGGGTCCCCACAAAGGTCTCAGAGACCTCCCCCCCCCTCAGATTGTTCCCAGACCCCCCCTCACCAGCAGCCGCTGCAGCCCCCAGGCCACCTCCTGCTCGCCTGAGTCCCCACTCGGGGGGTGCAGCCTCAGGTGCCGCCGCAGGGGGGTCACAGCCTCTGTCACCAGGTACAGGCACTGCTCCGTCTGGGGGGGACACTCGGGGTCACCCCCACCTCACCCTGTCACCCCCCGTGTCCCCCCACCTCACCCTGTCACCCCCCGTGTCCCCCCAAGTCCTTGTTTGTGTCCCTCCTTTGTCCCCTCGCTGTCCCCACCATTCCTGTCCCCCAGTGTCCCCTCAGTGTCCCCCTGTCCCCTCCTGACCGCTCATTCCCCCTGTCACCATTGTCCTCCCATATTCCCCTGTCCCCCCACAATGTCCCCATCTCTTCATGTCCCCCCATGTCCCCCCTCAACGTCCCCATTCCTTCAGGTCCCTCCACTCACTCCCATCTCCTCACTCCCCCAATGTCCTCCCATGTCCCCGTGACCCCCCCACACTGTCCCCGCGGTGTCCCCGGTCCTGTCACCTCCAGGCTGTCCAGGTAGCCCAGGATGTTGGGGTGCCGGAGGCTGCGGAGCCGCTTCAGCCCCGCCCGGGCCAGCGCGGTGGCACCGGGATCCACCCCCGGGCCCAGGCTGTGGGCAAACACCGACACCGGAGCGCCATCGGCCTGGGGACACGGCGACAGTCAGGGGACACGGCGACAGTCAGGGGACAGCGCGGGGAACAGCACAGGGGGAAAAGGGGGGACACTGTGGGGACACGCGGGGGCGGAGTAACGACAGGACAGGGGGACACGAGGAAACAAATGGAGATGTGGGGACAGCGGGGATGGAGACACCTGGGACCTGGCGATGGGGGACACGGGGGGAGCATGGGGGGACATACGGTGACGTGGGACAGGTGACAGCGAGAGCTGGGGCACAAAAGGATGGGGACACCGGGGGACACCGAGGGACAAGGATGGGGGTCGCGGGGACATGGGGAGGGGCTCGGGGCAGGGATGGCGGGGCCGCGGCCATGCAGGGGACAGGGAGGGGACACACGAGGGGACCCGACCCCCCCCATACACACAACCCCCCCACCTTGCGACGGCCCCGCAGCAGCCGCCAGAGCGGGGCCGGGGCCGCTGGGTCCGGGAGCGGCTCCGCCTCGGGATCCGCATCGGGCGGGCCCAGCTCGAAGGGGAAGTCCCGCACCGGGTCCCGGGAGAAGAGCCACATGGCGGGGCCGGGGCCGGGCCCGCGCTCCCGGCGGCTCCCGGGGCTCCGAGCGGGTCCCGGGGCCGGAGCGGGCCCGGAGGAAGCGGCGGCGGCGCCGGGCGGGAGGATCCGGTGACGGACCTGGGGGGGCGGGGCCTCAGTGAGCCAATGAAAGGCCAAGGGTGGGGTCTGGATGAGCCAATGAAAGGGCGGGGGTGGAAAATGGGAGGTATGAAGGGCGGGGCTTGGAAGAGCCAATAAGGGGCTGGGGAGGGGCCTAAAAGAACCAATGAGGGGCCAGGAAAGAGGGAGGGGAGGGGCGAAAAAGAGGCGAGGCCAAAACCAGCGGGAGGGGCGGGGCTTGTAAAGGACACGCGGCAGGAAGCGGTGGTGACGTCACCAAGCGGACCCAGGCCGCGTTGCTATGTCAGGGGGAACAGGCAATGACGTCATATGCACAGTCACCGCCCCCCCGCCCCCCCCCAGCACCAATGACGACACCAGGCCGGTCAGGAATCTGCAGTTTATTGAAGGTCCCTATTGATAGGGGGGTCCTGTCACGATACTGGGCATTCCCAGCGATACAGCGCCCCCTCAGGGTCCTGGGTCCTTGGCACAGGGGCCCTGTCGTGATCCAGGAGCACTGTCACGACAGGGGGTTCCTGTCTTCATCCTCCTCTTCAGAGCGATCCAGGGTCCTGTCAGGATACAAAGCCCCTGCAGAACGTGAGTTCTTATCGCGATAGACAATCCCTGTCCTGATATGGGGCACCCCCTATACCTCCAGGTACTGTGGGTCACCCGGTGTGGGCCTCTGGGAAAATGGGGAACAGGGGGTCCCTGTCACAATAAGGAGTCCCTGTCACGATATGAGGAGCCCTGTTACCAAGAGGGGTCCCTGTCACGACATGGAATCACCACCTCCCTGTACCATGGGGCACCCAAAGCCATGTGAATAAATGGAGGGTTCCCTTTACGATAATAGGTCCTTATCACAATATGGGGGCTCCTGTCGCGATATAAGATCCCTGTCAGGATACAGGGGTCACCCTTTTCTCTGGATTGTGAGATGCCCAAGTCAAGGAGGAGAAATGGGGGGGTATCCACCAGGATTTGGGGCTCTCTGTTGTGATATCGGGGTCTCTGTCACGATAGGGCCCCAGGCCAGCAGCAGCGGCGCCGCGAGGGGTCGAACCCCGCCCCGGGGGGTCCCGGGGGTGCCACCACCGGCGCCTTTTGCTTTTTTTTCGGCCTTTTTGGGTCCAGAGGAGAAAAAGCAAAACCTGAGAAAACCAGGAAAAGTTTTCTCAGGAAAAGAAAAAACCTCCCGAAACGGGAAAAATAAAAAACCAAAAACACCTCCCCAAATCGTCTCTGGCCCCGCCCCATGCGATTTGGGGCAAAATGTGGGGAATTTGGGGCCAGAGCACACCCAAAAATGGGTGGTTTGGGGCCCAGCATGTGCCCCCAGCGCAATTTGGGCAGAGAAACGGGGATTTTGGGTCAGAGTCACGGCCCAGACGCAAAACAGACTCAGAAACGGGGATTTGGGGTCACAGGCGCGTCCCGGTCGCAAAATTGGGCCAGAAAGGGGAATTTAGGGCGCAAAATGAGCTCAGCTCGGGGCATTTGGGGTTAATCCCGCGCTCCCGGAGCACAACAAGGTCAGAAACGGGGATTTGGGGTCGGACGCGCGATCCGGGCGCAAAACGGGCTCAGAAAGGGCCACTTCGGGTGCCACGCGCGCCCCCGGCGCAGAATTAGCTCCGAGACGGGGATTTTGGGGTTAAACACGCGCCCCCCTCGCAGCTTGGGCCGAGAACGGGGGATTTTGGGGTCGGCGCGTCCCGGGGCCCCGCCGGTACTTACTCTGCTGGCTCACCTTTTCCTGCCTCTTATTTTGGGGGGGATTTCTAGTTTTTAAGCCTTTTTTTGGAGCAAATTGTCCATTTTAGGGCGAATCAAGGCGGTTTTGGCACTGTCACTGTGGGGAGGGGAGAGAGACAACACCCAACCCCCCATCCCCAACACCTGCTCCTCCAGCCCTTTGCTTTGGGGGAAAATCCAGGGAAAAAGGTTCAAAAGCTCCTCCCCCTCCCAAGGCACCATGCGAAGGCGCTGACTAAGCATTTTTTTTGGGTGGAAAAACCCCTGGTTTTGGTTAAAATTCCCAGCTTGGGGGCGGGCCCTACGAGCAGCGCATTCTGAGGCAATTTTAGCAATTTTGGATTTTTTTAATTGGGGGGGGGGGGGCAAAGCAGCCAAACCCAAAGCTCCCCCTCCTCCCCTTCCATCCCTGGAGTGGCCCATTTTGGGGTGAAAGCGGCACAAATACCAATTTCTGGCTCCCTACTGTTCCTGCAGACCCTGATTTGGGGTTTTTTTGCCCCATTCTGGCTCTTGGAGGCTCCTCAGGCGGGGGCAGGGCCGGCGGGGCTGCAAAAAACACCCACGAGACCCCCCCCACATACACACACCCTGTCAGCACAATCCATGTTTGGGGGGAAAAGCGGCCGAATCGGTCAAACCGCCCGAAGGTCGCGGTTTTCCGCCGGTTTCGGGGGGATTTGGGGTCGGGAGGTGCCCGCATGCCACGTCCGGGGGGGGTCCCCGCGCTCCCCCCCGCCTCCCGACGCCCCAAACCGGCCGAAATCGCCCCAAATCCGCCGCCCCTCCCCCCACCCCACCCGCGCGGGTCCCGGGGGGGCTCAGGGTGGGGGAGGGGCGCACCCGGTACCTGCCACCGCCGATTTTGGGGGGGGGATTTTGCCTCAAATTTGAGGCTCCCCCGCCCCTTGCTCGCTCCTACACTTACTCGTTTTGGGGACAAAAGTCTAAATTTAAGCATTCCTGCTGCTGGTTTTGGAGAAAAAACCTGAAAACATGATTATTGTCCCCTCCCCCCACGCCTGCTCCAGCCCCTCCCTCCGCGGGGTTTTTGGGGGGTTTTACTTTTGTTTTCCTAAGGAAAGCTCCCGGAGCCTCATTCCTGCTCTTCCAGCTTCACTTTGGGGCAAAAAAGCTTCTTTTTGATGCTGCTGACTCCTCTCACTTGCGGCTGCGGAAAGGGCGGAAAACACCCCAAAACCGCCCCCTACCCACCAAAAACCGACCTCCCCAAAAAATGAAATTAAATCGACTCTTACTTCTCTGCATTCCCCAGATCTGGGGGTTTTCTCCTCAAATCCCTGCCGGAATCTCCTGAGCGCGTTTTGAGTGCAGACTGGCCTTTTCTGGTTAAATCCTCTTTTTTTTTTTTTTTTGTTTTCCCTTTCCTCGGCTTTCTCTCACCGTTTTTTTGCCTTTTTTTCCCTGCGTTTTGCTGCTTCCCTGAGGGGGGAAAAAAACTCGAGACACCCCCCCCCTCTTTGCCCACCCCCTCCCAAAAAACAAAAATACAAAACATTTCTTTGATCGTTTCTCTCCCTTTTTTTTTTTTTTTTATCACCGGCCCCTCCCGCGCGACGCCTTTGGGATAAAAACAAAAGATTTTGGACACTTACTGAGCGGCGCCGGCGGGAGCGGCGGAGCCGGAGGGCGCTGGAGGAATTTGGGGGGTTTTTCCCCATTTCTGGGGAGTTTAATAGAAAAAGGGGGAAGGGGAAGGGGCGACGGCGGCGGCGCCTGAAACGACAGAACCCCAAAACCCCCCAAATCCCCCCAAAATTCCCAAACCCCCGGAGGGGGGTGGGGCCTCACCCGGCCGCTGCCTCCGGCTCCGTTTGGGGCATTTTCCTCAAATTCCTCAATTTTCCTGGCTCCGGGACCCAAATCGTGATTTTTCTTCCTTTTTCTCCCTTTATCCTTCTTTTTTTCATTATTTTTCGCTTCTATTTTCTCCTCTAAATCCTCTTTGATTTTCTTTTTCCTCTCTTCTATTCTCTTCTATTTTCTCTCTTCTGATTTTTTCCCTGTTTTCTTTCACTTCCATCTTCTCAAATTTTCAGCACTTGGGTTTTTCTTTTTTTTCTACAATTTTCTATTTTCTTTTTTTCTAGTTTCATTTTTCTAATTGCATTTTTTCTATTTATTTACAGTCTATTTTCATTTTTCTATTATTTTTCTATATTCTTCTATTTGTTCGATTTTCATTTTTCTAATTTCTTCTATTTTCTCAAATTTTCTAATTATTTTTCTAGTTTCTTCTATTCTCCAATTTTCTTCTCTTTTTTTCCTATAATTTTCTATTTTCTTTTTTTTCCATTTTTTCTATGCTTTTTCAATTTTCTTTTTTCCAATTTCTATTTTTTCAGTTTTGTTTCTGTTTTCTTTTTTCTAAGGTTTTCTATTTTCTTTTTTTTTTCTGATTTTCTTCTATTTTCTCTCTCTTTTTTGTTCTATTTTCTGTCTTTCTCTCCTTTTTCTCCTCTCTTCTCTCTGCTCCTCCCCTGCTCAACTGCCGCCATTTTACCAAAAAGTCCTTTTTTCCCTCCAGATGGGGCCACTGCGAAGAAAAACTTTTCCTTTCCCTGCCGACTCCATCTTCACTCTTCAGTTTTCCTGCTCTTCCCTCAAAATTGGCTCCTCTCAATCCATCCTGATCCTGAAAATGCCGCATTTCACCCCAAACCGGCCGCCCCCGCCTGCGCTGCCCGGCCCGGCCCCACTTGGGGACAAATCTACATTTTTAAAAAGCTTTAGGAGCTTTTAAAAATAAAATTCGATTTAGGAGCTTTTTTAGCAGAAAACAGCGTATCAAGCGCTTTTTCTTTCTTTAAATTAAAGAAGCTTAAAAAGCTCTTTTTTAAGTAAAATCGCCCCAGCTTTGCTCCGGCTTTTTGAAAATATCACATTAGGATATTTTAAGAATTAAAGACCTGCGAGAGCTGCATTTTCTCCCAGAAATCGGCTTTGAAAGCGGCGATTTCTTAAAAACCAGCACTAGAAGGTTCGGTTTGAATAAAAACCAGCTTTAAGAGCTTTTTTAAGGTTTTTCATTCATTTTTTTCAATTAAAAGTGCCCCGGCTCGCCCCGGCTTTTCCCATTAGTGGAATCGCCGCAATTTAAGGATTTATATAGAAACCAAGCAGCTTTAAGAGCTCAGTTTTCCATAAAGGAAACAGCTTTTGTCTCTTTTCTTTAAATAAAGATTTAAGAGCTGCTTTTATGAAATAAAGCAGTCTTTGGAGCTCTTTCTATAAAATATCGCAGCTTTAAGAGCTTCTCGTAGGCAATAAAGCCATTTTTGGAGCCCTCGGTAAGAAATAAAGCCATTTTAGGAGCTTTTTTGTATAAAATCGAGCAGCTCTAAGCGATTTTGAGCCGAATTCGGGCCGTGTCGGGGCTGGTTCTCGGCCGGGCGCAGCCGGCGCGGGGCCCTCCCTTATAAGCGGCCCAGCACCGCCCCCGCGGGGGCGACAAAATAGTCCCTAAAATCGCCAAAAAAGGGCAGCAACCCCCAAAATCCCCCCCCAAATCTACCGCCCGCAGTGTGAAAAAGCTTCTTTTTTCATTATTTCACTTTTTTTACCCTTTTCTTCGATTTTTTCCCCTCACAAACTGTGCCCCCCCCTCCCCCCGAGGCCGTGGGCCTTCGGCCGGCCCACGCGGTCCAGTACGAAAATGGTTAAATTTAACAGAGATTTTTTTTGTTCGGTTTGGCCAGTTCTGCCCTAAAATCCCTCGCTTCGACCTTCCCGGGTGGCTTTAGAGGTTTTTTATTTTCTTTTTTATTCATTCATTTTACTTTTTTTTTTTTTTTTTTGCTGCGTCACGGGGCTGGGCCGCTGCCAAAAAGGCGCCGTTTCTCCTCAAAAGGGTCACAAATCTTGAGGAAAAAAACGTTCTTGAGGGAACACAGACCCCAAAGCCCAAATTTTCACCAGTTTTTGTTCCCCAAAAAGGCTGAACAACCCTTTTTAAACTCTTTTTTCTACCCTGATCCAGCACAGCCTTAACCACCATTTTAATTTCCTTTTCTACGACAGAAATGCATCAAAATCTTTGTGTTTCACCCCATTTCAGGCCATGCTGAGTCATGGAAGTCCCTGTTTTCAAGAAATGGAATAAACCCTCACTATTTTGAGGCATTTTAAGGCATTTTTTAGGCAATTTAAAGCACTTTTTTGGCTTTTTGAGGCGTTTCCGGGCAGGAAATGACACCCCAAGAATGCTGGCAGGGAGGGGACAACCCCCCTCCCCAACCTTTTAATTATCATTCATTAAAGCTGTTCTGGGGCTAATTAAAGCTGCTGACGAAAACAATGAGGCATTTTGGGGGTGTGGGAGGAGCTGTTCCGACATTTTTGGGGCGTTTCCCGCAGGAGAAAAATTTTCCTTATTAATTATTTTCTGGGCTATTCCACCATTAAGGCTCTCAAATGTAAATTTTTCCCCCCATTTCAGGTGCAGGAAAAGGCCTCCCCCAGAAATACCCTGATTTTAGGCAAGGTTTATCTCAACGATCATTTTTACAGCAATAATCTGCCCATTTCCAGCTGGTTTAAGCCATAATTTAAAATTTTAAATCATTTTAGCAACTCTTGGCACAGTCAAATTTCAAGTTTTCTGCATGAAAATACCCCAAAAGCTGCTTTTTCCTCAGGAGCTGAGCCTGGAGAGGACATTTTAAAACATTTCCCTCTAGAAAGATGCTCTTCACCAAATCTTGGGTGTTTCTTAGGAAAAAAAAAAAGAATAAAAATCAGGTTTAGATTTTTTTTAAAGCTGGGATAGCACTAAAGCTTCTAAAGAGCCTCAACATCACCTTAAGGTGAGTTTAAGCCATTCTGGGGGCACAGGACACAGGTTTTGCTCTCAAAAATCACCACTAAACCAAACTGCAGCTTTTCAGCTGCTTTTTAAACCCAAATGGCCGCTTTTTAACCCAAAGCGGGAGGCTGCCCCTCCAGTCTCCTTAGCCCCTTTCTTAGTAGGTTTTTGATGCAAAACCACCTCAATTCTTCACTCTAAATCCACCATTTCCTTGAGACTTCCCAGCTTTTTAAAACCCGATCCTTTTTAGCGACTTTTCGCACAAAAATTACCTCACGAAAAGGGGCACGTACGGGGGGGAACTTCATCGCGTCCCCTCCTCCGCGGGGCCCCTCAAGCCGCCGCTAAATGGGCACAAACCCCCTCCCCCCCCGCTCCTCCCCTCCCCCACAGCCCCGACTTTCATTCTGCCCCTCCTCCACGCCCATTTTACAGGCAAATAAAAAGAAAATTGGGGGCGGGAACGGCCGCGGAAGAATCCGGCGGAAGGATCCACGGAAAGGATTCGGTGTGAAGTGACCTCCGGACATGTGGCCGGCGGAGGGATCCGCGCGCGGAGGGATCTGAGAGTGATGCGACAGTGGGCGGATCCACACGGAGACCCGCCCCCTCACCAGGCCCCTCCCTTGGCTTTGCCGCAGTCGCCGCGGGGGCGGCGCCGGGTGCGGGAGTGCGGCGTCATCGCTTCGTGCACTCCGCATTGGGCGGGGGAAGCGCCGAGTCACCTCTGCCGCGTCCGGAGAGGCCGAACGGTTAAAAAAAAATTACCCTTTTCTCCTTGGTTTTACCTCAGAAAAGCCCGAGTTCCTTCAGGAAAATATCATTTGCCTCAGAAATGGCCGACTTCCGTCAGAAAATGATCGGTTTCCCGAGAAAATGTCCGATTTTCCTCAGAACGTTTGATTTTACCTCATCAGTGTCTCGCTTCCCTCTTGAGACGTCTGGTTGTCTCAAAAACGTTTGATTTCCCTCAAGAAGTGTCCGTTTTGCCTCAGAAATGTCTTATTTACTTCGAAAGTGTCTACTTCCCTCACAAGTATCTGATTTGTATCAAAAATGCTTCATTTCCCTCAGAAAGTTCCCGATTTGCCTCAGAAATGTCAAATTTTACCTCAGAAACGTCAAGTTTTACCTCAGAAATGTCCTATTTTCCTCAGAAAAATATAATTTTTATTCAGCCATAACCCGCTCCCCCCCCCCAAAATGGCGCCTTCCCACGGGAACAGCTCCGTGAGGCGGGGCGGGGGGCGATCTGCATCCTTCACGATTTCCCTCAGATAACATTTATTCCAAAGCATTTCTTTATCCTATCAAATATTTATATTTTCTTCATTTTTTAGTTTCTAAATGTTGGATTTCAGAGCAGTTTCTTTGTGTTCTTTAGGCCCCGGTAACACTTACCCCTCCCACAGCACAAAACTCTCACCGGTTCTCCCTTAAAAAATCCTTAAATTTCTAAAAAGCACCTTAAGAAAATGAAATTATTCGGGACTGAGGCAGTTTTGCCGCAGAGTGGAGGCGTATGGGGTTTTAAGGGTAGAAAATGTGATATTTTGGATAAACACAGCCCTGCTGGGTGGGAAAAGGGAGGAAAATGGGGTTAAAAAGTGAAATAGGGGGATTTTGGGTGGATTTGTGAAGGTCCCAAATGGACAATGAGCGATGCCCCCACATCAGCAGGACTTGCTCCAAAAATGGTGGAATTTGTCCCAAAGGTCTCGTTAGTGCTAATGAGAGGGAGAAGCCTCCCCAACACAGAAGCCCCTGACACAGGTGACAGGTGTGACAAGTGTGACATGTGTGACATGTGTGACATGTGTGACAAGTGTGACACACGCGTGTCCCTGAGTCCCCAGCCCGAAATGGCCGCTGCTGTCACGTGGGGCAGCCATTTGGCTACGTTGGCCACAAACCCCCCAAAATTGGCCCCAAAGCCCCTAGGACTGGCCCCAAACTGCTGCAGCTTGTCCCAAACCCCCCTAAATGGACCCCAAGCTGCCTGGAATAGGCCCCAAACCCCCCAGAACTGGCCCCAAAATGTCCCAACTCCACTGAAAGTAGCCTCAGACCCCCCAGGAACTGGTTGGAAAATGCTCTGCATGATCCAGAATCAGCTCCAAATATCCCAAACTAGATCAAACCTGTCACGAATTAACCCCAAACACCCCAAATAAGTTGCAAACCACCCTGAATCAGCTTTGATCTGCCCCAAACCACCCAGAATCATCCCCAAACTGGTACCAAACTGCCTCAAACTGCTCTGGATTGGCCCCAAATCGATCCCGATTTGCCCCAAATTCCACCAAACCCTGCCTGGGGAGAGGGGGCGGGGGGGGCAGTGCAGTTTATTGGTGGGTGTTGAGTACAAAGGGGGGGGGGGCTTCCAGTGCTCCCAGTCTGAACTGGGAGGGGTTTGGGGGGCTCGGGGGGGCTCAGCCCTGCTCGGAGCCGGCCCCCCCTGTGCCCCCCGCCACGGGGCTGTAGGAGCCGCCCCCGGCCCCCCCCCGGCTGAAGAAGGACGCCGAGCGCCGGGGGGGCTTCACCCGCCGCAGCTCCTGCCCTGGGGGGGGGACATTGGGGTGGGATTTAGGGCAGGAATCGCCTCGGGGTCCCCTGTGCCACCCCCGAGTGTCCCAATTCCCTCCCTGCCATGTTCCCTCAGACCATCCTGTACCCTGTGTCCCCTGCTTGTCAGATTCCCCCCAAGGTCCCTGTTCCCCCCTGTGTCCCCCATGTCCCTGTGACCGCCCTCCCTTTCCCCTGGAAGCTCCTGTGTCCCCTCCTCAACTCTATGCCCCCTATCCCCCCCAGAAGCTGGGGTCACCCCATGTGTGTGTGTGTGTCCCCATGTCCCCCTATGTCCCCCCACTGTTCTTGATGTCCCTCATGTTCCGGATGTCCCCTATGTCCCTGATATCCCCCTTGTCTCCATGGGTCCCCCATGTCCAGCATGTTCCCTGTTGTCCCCCATGTCCCCCCCTCCATGTCCCAGACGTACCCCATGTCCCTAAAGTTCCGAACGCCCCCCATGTCCCCGCTGTCCCCCATGTCCTTGCCATCCCCAATGCCCCTCATGTCTCATGTGTCCCCCGATGTCCCCGCTCTCCGCCATGTCCTGAATGCCCCCCATATCCCGGATGTCCCCAATGTCCCCGATGTCCCCCATATCCCGAATGCCCCCCAAGTCCCTGCTGTCCCCCATGTCCCGCTGTCGCCTGTCGCACCCTCCCGCACGTAGTCGATGGTCGCGAGGCGCTGCAGGCGGGGCCGTGTCACGCTCTCCTGCCGCCGCAAGGGGGCGCCACGCGCGCCGGCCGCCTCGGGGGGCGTGGCCGCAGCGCCGGCGGGGGACGGGGTCTGTTCCTCGGGGGGCGGGGCCGCCCCGCCCAGCTCGATGCAGCACTCGATGAGGGCGCTCATCAGCTCCGCCTGGGGGCGCTGTCAGCACCAGACCGAGACCCCCCGGGACCCCCCCAGGGAACCCCCCCAACCTTCCCCCCCCCCGGGATGCCCCCCTAGAGACCCCCCGGGACTCACAAACCCACCCAAGGCACCCCAAACCCCTCTGGGAACCCCCCCAGGGACCCCCAAAATCCCCGCAGGACGCCCAACACGACCCCCTTGGGAACCCCATGCACACAGCAGGGATACCCAAACCAACACCCCTGGGATCATCCCAGGACCCCCAAACTATCCCTCAACACCCCCAAACCGACCCTCCCAGGATCCCCAAACACCCCCAAACTGATCCCCCAGGGACCCCACCCAGCTGCCCCTAAAGCGCTCCCAAACCCTTCCCCTGCTCCCCCCAAATTCCCCCCCAGAGCCCCCCACTCGCACCTGTGGGGAGAACACACGCAGCAGTCGGTTCACGGGGGCTCCCTCGTGGTCCCCATCGAACTCCAACCACAGCTGGGGGGGCTCCGTGGGGTCCCCCTCCTGCCCCGCGGGGTCCCCGTCCTGCCCCACGGCCCCCACCAGCTCCCAGCACAGCTCGGGGTACGTCAGGGACAGCAGCACATGCTGGGGGGGCGGCATGGGGGGGGGGGGGGGTCACCCACAGAGCCCCCCTGACCCCCATCCTGCCCCCACAGAGCCCCCCTGACCCCCATCCTGCCCCCACAGACCCCCCCAATACCTTCTGCCGGGGGTCAATGATGGTGACCCCCTCGAGCCCCACGGCCACGCTGACGGGGCGCAGCCCCCCCCGGGCCAGCAGCCCCCCCGACGGCCGCTCAATGGCTCCTGGGAAAAAGGCACACCTGGAGAGGGGGGGGGACACACCTGGGTCACCCCCAAACCCCAAATTCTGGGTCCCCCCCAAATTCATGGGGTGCCCAGGTGCAGTGTGGGGTGAAGATTCCAAGGGGGATACCTGAGGGTCTGGATATGGAGGAACTTGGGGGTCTAGAAGGAGCCCTGGGCGGGGGGTCACTGTGGGTCTGGGGGAGTCTGTGGGGCTCAGATATTGGGGGGTCCCTGGGAGAGCTCCCTGAGGGTCTGTGGGGCACATTGGATGTCTCTGGGCGGCAGGGCGGGTGGAGGGGGAGTTCTTTTGGGGTTCTCTGTTGATCTGGGGGGGGTCCCCGTCAATCTGGGGTTGTCCCTGGGATCTGCATCTGCAGGGGTCCCTGGGAGGGGTCTTGGTGAGGTTCTCTGAGGGTCTTGGGGGCATCAGTGGGGGGTGTCCCATGGGGGGTGTCCACTGGGGGTCTCTAACAGGGGAGTGTCCGATTGAGGTGTCTCATTTGGGATGTCCAATGGGGGGGTGTCCCCTGGGGGTCTCTAACTGGGGGGTGTCCCCTGGGGGTCTCTAACCGCGGTCTCCCCCCCCTCACCCGTAGCCGGGCAGGGCGTGGCAGCGGCGCAGGAAGTCCCGGTACAATCCGGCAGGGGGCGCCTCGGGGCCCGGCGCACGCGCAAACGCCTCGAGCAGCCGCTGGGCGGGGCCCGGCTCCCGCGAGCGCCGGAACAGCGCCCCCCAGCGGGCAGGAGGACCCGGCGGCAGCAGCTCCCCCAGCAGCGGCCTGGGGGGGACACCGGGCGGTCAGGAGGGGACCGGGAGGGGCACGGGCGGAACATGGGGGTCAGGGGGTACCGTGTGGCCGGGGGATGGAGGTCCCGTGGGGTGGGGAGGTCCCGGAGGGGATCCCGTGGGTGGGTCCCAGGTGTGGGAGGTCCCAGGTGGAGGGGATCCCGTGGGTGGTCGCGTCCCAGGTGGGGTCCCAAAGGGAGTGCCAGGGGTTCCCATGGGTGGGGGTCCCGTGGGCAGGGGTCTCGTGGGCGGAGGTCCCGTGGGCAGGGGTCCCGTGGGCGGGGGTCCCGTGGGCAGGGTCCGGCCGGTGCTGACCGCAGGCTGAGCTCCGTGTGCCGGCCGGGCTCGAAGGGCCCCAGGCGCAGGCGGCAGCTGAGCCCCCCCAGCTCGGCCGCCTCGGGGGGGTCCACGGGGTAGCGCCCCCCCTTCAGCTGCTCCCGCGCCTCCTCATAGAGCAACCGCAGCAGCTCCTCCTCCTGCAGCTGGGAGCCACAGACACCCCCAGGTCACCCAGAGAGACCCCTGAACCACCGCAGACCCCTCCCTGAACCCCCCCGTGTCCCCCTGCCATAGATCCCCCCACACCGGGGACCCCCCTGTCCCCCCTCACCTCCAGCTCACGGCTCTTAGGGAAGAACACGTTCCTGCGCAGCTGCAGACACGGCTCATCTGGGGGGACAGGGGGTCAGTGGGACCCTCGAGGGGACCCTCCCGTCCCCAAAGGGTCCTCCCCTGACCCCCCAGCCCTCACCTTGGGCGATGGCCGCGGGCGAGCCGAGGCTGAAGCGCAGCAGCAGCTCCGGCCAGTGCCGGACCAGGCGCAGGGGTCGGTGCCGCGGCTTCAGCTGCACCTCTGGGGGGGACGCAAGGGCTGGCACCCACCTGGGGACCCGTGGAGACCCCCACAGGGACCCTCACGGGCATAGGGACCCCCCCCCACCCCATCCTCCAGGGGGATCCTCCCCGTCTCCCTGTCCCTCATGGGACCCTCCAATGTCCCCTCCTCAGTGAGCAGCTCCGCTCAGAACCGAGCTGTGACCCCCACGGCACCCCCATATCCCTATGGTCCCAGTTCTCTGTGTCCCCCTGTCCCCGTAATGTCCCCGTGTCCCCCCATGTCCCCTGTCCCCCCAATGTCCCCCTGGTCCCCCAATGTCCCCCTGTCCCCCCTCACCGAGCAGTTCCAACCCCAACCACAGCGCGAGCTGTGACCACGCCATGTCCATGTCCCCCCAATGTCCCCATATCCCCCCATGTCCCCCTGTCCCTCCATGTCCCCATATCCCCCCATATCCCCCTGGCCCCCCAATGTCCAGATGTCCCCCCATGTCCCCATGTGTCCCCATGTCCCCCCATGTCCCCCTGTCCCCCCCTCACCGAGCAGCTCCGACCCCAACCACAGCGCGAGGCGTCGCCGGCGGCGGGCGGGAGGCGCAGCGCCCCCTGCAGGCGGCGCAGCAGCTCCGCGGCCGTGGGGCCCGGGGGCGCTCCAGCGGCAGCGGCAGCGCCGACCCGTCCGGCAGGTACAGCAGGGCTGGGGGCGCCGGGGGGCGTCAGACCCCCTCGGGACCCCCACATAACCCACGGGATCTCCCGGGACCCCCGCACATCCCCCGGGACCCCCACAACTCCCAACAAGCACCCACCCCCCGCACTGACACAGCCCCGGCAGGTGCAGCAGGGCTGGGGCGCCGAGGCCCCTGAGACCCCCACCCAGGGAGCCCCAAACCCACTCGGGACCCCCAAACCTGCCCCGGGACCGCCCACCCCCCAGTCTGACACACCCCGGGACACACCCAAAGGACGCACGGGGGTCCCACGGCCACGCCCTCCCCAGACCACCCCCCCAAAGTGTCCCACGGTCCCCCGGGGGTCTCAAAGCTCCCCACGACCCCCACCCATGGGGGTCCCACGGCCACGCCCATACCCGGACTCGCGGCCCCGCCCACTCCCGTGGCCCCGCCCCCTCACCGGCGGCGCCCGGCGGGGCGGACGCGCCCTCCCCCTCCGCCTCCCCCTCCCCGTCCATGAGCGGGGTCACGGAGGGGTCACCGTGGGGTCACCGCGGGGTCACGGCTCCGCGCGCTCCTCGCGCCGGTCCCGCGCGCGGGGCGGGAAGCGCCACGGGTGGGCGGAGAGGGCGGGGCCGTAAGGATTACGTCATTGTGAGGGCGGGGCCCGGGAGAGGCGGGGAGGCGCCCCCTGGCGGAGGGGAGGGCTGGGACCCCTCCGCGGGGGGAGGTTGGGGGGGTCCCGGCGCATTCGGGGGGTCCCGGGGGCGGCGCAGGAAGAGGCGGAGCCGCTGTACGAAGTATAGAACCGTGTATTCCTCTGTGCGCGGCGGGGGGGGCGGCCCGGGGGGGCTCGGAGGGATTCGGGGCGGCTTTTGGGGGGTCCCGGCAGGACCCCGGAGGGTCCCGACTCCAATCGGGGCTCTCGAAATTAAAAAATAAACCCAAAGAAATACCCGGGAAGGGGGGCGAGGGGGGGGGCGGTAAAAAACCGATCCGAGGTTGGGAAGGGGAGCGGTTTGAGGGGGGGGTTCCCGCGCCCCTCTCGGGAGGGAGGGGGGGGTCCCGCCGCCCCCCGCGCCCCCCCCCCACGCGCCGCCCCCCGGTTCCCGCGGCGGGTCGGGGGCGGAGGGGGGACACACACACAGAGAGAGAGACCACAGAGGCGCCCCCGCTGCGGCGGGGTCGGGGGGGCGGGCAGGTGACATCCCCCCGGGGATGGCGGCGGGGGCCGGGGGGGGGTCGGGGGACACGCGTGGAGACCCCCCCCCTCACACGTAATACTCCTTGTCCTTGTTGCGCCGCCCTTTGCCCGGCGCCTTGGGGGGCGCGGCCCGCCGCCTTCTCCTTGGGGTCCCGGCGGGCGGGGGTCGGGGACGCGGCCCCGGGAGCCCCTCCCGGGCCCCCCCCGGGCGCGGCGGGGGCGGCCCCGATGTAGTGGCGGCTCTGGTCCACCTGGTAGGAGCCCTCGTCGCGGTTGCGGTACTTGTACATGGCGTAGAGGAGGATGAGGATGCAGAGCGCGGCGGCCGCCACGATGCCCACCACCATGCCGGTGGTGCCGCCCGCCTCCCGCACCACCTCCACCGCTCCGGGCGCGGCTGTGGGGGGCACGGGGGGGCGCCGGGTCACGGGAGGAGCCGAACCCCCCCCGCGCCGCCCCCCCGCCCGCGCCGCCCTCCCGCGGTGCCGCTCGCCCGCCGGCACCAGCCCGGGCGGAGCCGCGCCCGCCACCGTGGGCTCGGTCCCGGCGCCGCGGGGCGCGGCCGTGGCCGCCGGGGGGGCGGCGGCCTCGGGGCTCCCCCCGCCCCCCCAGCCCCGCGAAGTCCTCGTCGTCGGCCGGCGGCTGCTCGGGGCCGGGAGCGTGGCCGGGGTCGGGGTCGGGGTCCGCCGCCTCCCCCGAGGCGAAGCCCGAGGGCTCGTCGCAGTCGGGGGCCGCAGCCCGGGGGGGCGCGGGGGGCGGCGGGGGGCGGGGGGGGCCCGGGGGACGCCGGCAGCACCAGCTCCCCGCCTGCGGAGACAGAAAGGGGACGGGGGGACCCCCGTCAGCCCCCGCCGCCGCGCCCCGCTGCGCCCCCCCGACCCCCCCCCCGCCGCCTCCGGCCGCCTCCGCGCCAGCTCCGCTCTAGGTTACTTATTTCTTTTTTTTTTTTTTTTTTTTTTGCATTTTTAGCTAATTCCTCTACTTTTTTTTTTTTTTTTTCTCGGCTTTTTTGTTTTTTTTTTTTAAGAGCAAACCGCGGCGCTGCCGTCAACTTACATCGCGGGATGGGGCCGGGTGATTTTAGCGTGGAGGAAAAAGAAATTGCAGGAAGGAAGGGAAAGCACACAAAAAACGAGAGAAAGAGAAAAAAGAGAAAAAAAGAACAAAAAGAAAAGAAGAGAAGAGACACTCGGTGAGAAGGTGCCGCGGCCACCCCTGCGGCGCCAGCGCCCGGCCCCGGCCGGCCCCGGCCACCGCCGGCCACCACTGGCCACCGGCCCCCGGCCATCAGCCACCGGCCATTGACCATCAGCCTCGGATCCATCCGTCCATCCATCCGTCCATCCACCTGTCCATCCGTCCATCCATCCATCCATCCATCCATCCATCCATCCATCCATCCATCCATCCGTCCATCCATCTGTGAACTGTCTGTCCACCCCTAAATCCATCCATGGATTCCTGAATCCATCCTTGACTCCATCCTTGAATCCATCCTTGAATCCATCCATCCATCTGTCCATCCGTCCATCCCTCCATGAACCATCTGTCCATCCCTAAATCCATCCATGGATCCCTGAATCCATCCTTGAATCCATCCCTGAATCCATCTTTGAATTCATCCACCCATCCATCCATCCATCCATCCATCCATGAACCATCTGTCCACACCTAAATCCATTCATGGATCCTTGAATCCATCCTTGAATCCATCCATCCATCCATCCTTGAGTCCATCCAGCCATCCCTAAACCCAGCTGTGTCCATCCAATCCTGATCCATGTGTCCATCTGTCTTTGATTCCATCCATCCGTCCATTCATCCATCATCCATCCATCCTTGAATCCATTCATCCATCCATCCATCCATCCATCCATCCATCCATCCATCCATCATCCATCCGTCCATCCATCCATCCATCCGTCCGTCCGTCCGTCCGTCCATCCATCATTCCATCCATCCATCCATCCATCCATCCATCCATCCATCCATCGTCCATCCATCCATCCATCCATCCATCCATCCATCCATCCATCATCCATCCATCCATCCATCCATCCATCCATCCATCCATCCATCCATCCATCCATCCATCCCTAAATCCACCCCTGCAGCCACCTGGCCACATGTCTGTCCACACTCAGATCCAGCATCTGACCTCAAATCTGCTCATCCATCCATCCTTGTGTCCGTCCATCCATCCATCCATCCATCCATCCATCCATCCATCCATCCATCCATCCATCCATCCATCCATCCCTGTGTCCATCCATCCATCCATCCATCCATCCATCCATCCATCCATCCATCCATCCATCCTATCCATCCACGGACCACTGTCCATCATCCATCCACGGTCAATTGTCCATCCATTGTCCATCCATTGTCTGTCCACTGTCCGTCCACTGTCCATCTGTCTGTCCCCCACTCCTCCTCCCTTCCCCTCACTGCTGCCACCCCTCCCCCACAAGTGGGACCAGAGTGTCCTGGGGACACCTGTGGGGGACACACCCGGCTGTCCAGGTGACACCTGTGGGTACCGGCTGAGGTCCCAGGTGTCCGGGGGGGTCTCCATTGTCCAGGTGACACCCGGGGGTGTCCAGGGGGTGTCACTGTGTGACACTGGCGGTGGGGGAGGGTCCTCACTGAGGTCCTGGTGGCAGCACAGGTGAGACAGCGCAGGTGTGACAGCGCAGGTGTCACATGGGGTGACCCCAGACCGAGGGGGTCCTCCCTGTCTGTCCGAGAGTCCGAATGTCCAAGTGTCCAAGTGTCCAAGTGTCCAAGTGTCCGTCCGTCAGGGGAAGCAGGGGGTGGGGGTGGGGCTTGCACAGCCCCTGGCTCAGGTGTGTGCTCAGAATGGGCGGGAACACCTGTGCAGGGTGGGGGGCAGGGCCACAGGTGGGAGGGCGTGTGCAAAGGGGGGGCACCTGAGTGTGCAAAGGGGGCACCTGAGTGTGCAAAGGGGGCACCTTGGTGTGCGGGGGGGCCGAGTTTGTGGGGCAGGTGTGAGCTCAGGTGTGTGTGAGCTCAGGTATGTATGCACACCTGGGTCTGTGTGTGTGTGAGCAGCTCCTGTGCAGGTGTGTGTGCACAGTTCAGGTGTGTGCACACCTGTCCAGGTGTGTGTGTATCTCTGTGTGCACACCTGTCCAGGTGTGTGTATCTGTGTGTGCACACCTGTCCAGGTGTCTGTGTGCACCTGTCCAGGTGTGTGAGCAGCTCCCGTACCCGCGTGTTCCCTGCAGTGAACAGCCTGGCTCGTTCCCTGCTCACACGCGTGTGCAACGCCCCCACCCCCCCACACCTGTGCGTGTGCACTCCCTCACACCTGTGCGTGTGCACTCCCTCACACCTGTGCGTGTGCACACCCCGACACCTGTGTGGGGGTCTCAGCCCCGCCAGGGGGTTGGGGAAGAGCCCCGGGCTCTGCGGCCGTGCCACACACGCGTGCCAGGCCGTGCCACACGCGTGTGCCCGGGGCCCCGGAGCAGCACCCACCTGTGCCCGGCTCACACTCCTCCAGGTCCTCGTCATCGCTCGGACACTCGGCCGAGGCCACCAGGAGATCGTCCGTGTTCTGGGGGGACATTGGGGAGGGGGTCAGCCCGGGGACCCCCAAACCCCCCCAGGATCCAGGGAGAGGTGTCAGGGGTCACCTGAGCGCACCCAGGTGTGCGGGATCCAGCCCCTTTCTGGGGTCCCCCCCTACCTGCCCCTCCCACAGCGCCCCTGCTCCCCATCCAGCCCTTGGGACCCCCCCATTCTCCCCCAAATTCTCTGCAGACCCTCCCCCCTTTACCCCCCATACCCTGACCTTGGTAGGACCCTCCCTCAATCCATAACCCCCAATTCCCTAATTCCCCACTCCCCATTTACCTGTCCCACTGCCCCCCCCTCCCCTAAACCCCCCTCTCTACCCCCTCCCCACTCCCCAGACCCCCATTTTGCCCCCTCCCCACTTTACCTGGGCGACGGTGTCGCGCAGGGTGGGCGAGCGCCCGCGGCGGGTGGTGGTCGTGGCCATGGTGGTGGTGGTCTCCATGATGGTGGTGGCCATGTCGGGGGGCGCGGGGGTGGCGCCGGGGGGCGCGGGGGGCGGGGGGGGGGTCCCCCACGAGCCGCAGGTCCCCCTCAAGCCGCACGCGGGGGTGTCCCTCGGCCGCCAGCGCCAGCAGCTTCAGCCCGTTGTAGTAGAGCCCCGAGAGCTGCCCCTGGAAGGGGCGGCCGCGGTCCCCGGCCCCCCACCCGCACGCGCGCTTGGCTGTTGAAGATGGTCAGCTGCCGGCCTGGGGGGGAGAGGGGGGGGCTCGCACACCTGGCACACCTGGTACCGGCTCACCTGTGTCACCTGTGCCACCTGTGTCACCTGTGCTATCCTGACATTGGCACCTCACTCACACACATCCCCCCCTGGCTGTTGAAGATGGTCAGCTGCCGGCCTGGGGGGGGAGAGGGGGGGCTCGCACACCTGGCACAGGCTCACCTGTGTCACCTGGGTCACCTGTGTCACCTGTGTCACCTGTGCTACCCTGACATTGTCACCTCACTCACACACATCCCCCCCTGGCTGTTGAAGATGGTCAGCTGCCGGCCTGGAGGGGAGAGGGGGGGCTCGCACACCTGGCACACCTGGTACCGGCTCACCTGGGTCACCTGTGCTACCCCCAATGTCACCCCAACACTGTGACCTCAACGCCATCACCCTGACACTGTCACCCCACACTCACACACCCTCCCACCATGGATGGAGAGGGGGGGCTTGCACACCTGGCACACCTGGAACACCAGGTACCAGCTCACCTGGCTCAGCTTGACACTGGCACCCTGACACTGTCCCATGGATGGACACGGCAGCTGCACACCTGGCACGGCCTTATCCCCACACCTGGCACGGCCTTATCCCCACACCTGGCACACCTGGCATGGCCTTATCTCAAAGCTGGCACACCTGGCACAGCCTCACCCCACACCTGGCACACCTGGCATGGACTTATCTCACACCTGGCACGGCCTCACCCCACACCTGGCACAGCCTTATCCCCACACCTGGCACAGCTGGCATGGCCTTATCTCACAGCTGGAACACCTGGCACGGCCTCCCCCCACACCTGGCACACCTGGCACGGCCATACCCCACACCTGGCACGCCCCCATACTGCCCCACCCTGCCACGCCCACCCTCCCCCCCCCGCCTGCACACCTGGGCACACCTGGGTGTGCCTCGCACTAGGAGCAGCCCCGCCCCCCCTCCCACCCCCACCCCCCTCCCCCCCCGGGCAGTTAAAGGGACCCCAACGCCCCCCCCGGCCCCCGGCTCCGCTCGGGCTCAATTCGGCCAATTTTGGGTCATTTGGGGCGGGGGGGAGGGGCAGGGGCCCTTGTGGGCGGGGCCGGGGCGTGCGAGGCTGGGGCGGCTCCTGTGCACACCTGGGGCTGCAGGGCGGACACACCTGTGCACCTTCCTCACGCACACCTGGCCTTGCTGCACACCTGGTACACACCTGGTACACACCTGGTACACACCTGGTGCACACCTGGTACACACCTGGTACACACCTGCTCTGGTGCGCACCTGTCCTCGTGCACACCTGGTGTACACCTGCTGCACACCTGGGGCACACCTGTCCTCATGCACACCTGTCCTGTGCACACCTGGAGCACGCCCCAGCCGTGGTGCACACCTGGTGCACACCTGGAGCACGCCCCAGCCATGGTGCTCACCTGGCGCACACCTGTCCTGCGCACACCTGGCGCAGCCCCGGCCCCGGGCAGTGCTGGGCAGGTGTGGGTTAGGGGGTTTAGCGGGTTTATGCGGCTTTAGGGGGGCTCTGGGCTCAGCGCGGTTTAGGGGGGCCGTTAGGTGCGTTAGCATCCCTTTAACCAGGTAATGAGGGGGCGGGGCAGGGGCTGGCCCCTCCCCCAACACCTGGGCTCTCTCCCCGGACACCTGGGGGGTCCCTGGACAACGGGGTCCTCCGGGACGTGGCTCCTGGACACCTGTGGGGCCCAGGTGCTGGGACCCCCAAATATCGGGGTCCAAAATGCCGGGGATCCCGAACACCTGGGACCCCAAACAGGTGGGCCCCGCCCACCTGAGTCCCCACATTCTGGGGTGCCCAGGTGTGGCGGTGCCCAGGTGTGGGAGCCTCCAGGTGTTGGGGGATCCCAGACACTCCCCAAATAAGTGGCTTCCAGACACCTGGGACCCCCAAAATCTCTGGGTCCCGGCCACAAGCGGGTGTGCCCAGGTGTGGGGGAGCGCCCAGGGTGTGGGGGGGTGCCCAGGTGTGGGGGGTGCCCAGGTGTGGGGGGGCGCTCGCTGCCGTTACCTTTGTCGAGCAGCCACTCATCGACCACCCGCCCCAGGCGGAAGGGGATGCGCTGCCGCGCCAGCGCCAGCCGCTCGCTGTCCCCGCTGCCTTCGGAGGGAGGAGAAGAGCGTTACGGGGACACGGGGCAGGGCACGGGGACACCGGCACGGGGGTGGCACCGGCGGGGGCATCGGCGGCGGCGTCACGGGCCGTGTCACCGTGTCACGGCACGGCGGCACCGCAGCATCGGCGGCAGCGCTGTGGTGGGACCGTGGTGTCAGTGGCATTGTTGGTGTCACCAAGATGGGACCGTGGTGTCAGTGGCATCGTTGGTGTCACCAAGGTGGGACCATGGTGTCAGTGGCATCGTTGGTGTCACCATGATGGGACCGTGGTGTCAATGGCATCGTTGGTGTCACCAAGATGGGACCATGGGTGTGAGTGGCATTGTTGGTGTCACCATGATGGGACCATGGTGTGAGTGGCATTGTTGGTGTCACCATGATGGGACCGTGGTGTCAGTGGCATTGTTGGTGTCACCAAGATGGGACTGTGGTGTCATTGTCAGTGGCATCGTTGGTGTCACCATCGATGTCACCATGATGGGACTGTGTTCCCAATGGCATCCCACCAAGATGGGACAATGGTCTCAGTGGCATCATTGGTGTCACCAAGATGGGACTGTGGTGTCATCAGTTAGTGACCAGTTAGTGGCACTCTTGGTGTCACCATCAATGTCACCATGACGGGACCATGGTCCCAATGGCATCGTTGGTGTCACCAAGACGGGACCGTGGTCTCAGTGGCATTTTTAGTGTCACCAAGATGGCACCATGGTGTCATCAGTTAGAGACCAGTTAGTGGCACTCTTGATGTCACCATCAATGTCACCAAGATGGGACCATGGTCTCATTGTTAGTGGCACTCTTGGTGTCACCATGGTGGGACCATGGCCTTGCCATTGGTGTCACCATCAGCGTCACCATGGTGGGACTGTGGCCTCATCATTAGTGGCATCATTAGTGTCACCAAGATGGGACCATGGTGTCATCATTAGCGGCACTCTTGGTGTCACCATCAATGTCACCATAGTGGGACCATGGTCTCATTGTTAGTGGGATCATTGGTGTCACCACTGTAGGATCGTGACCTTGCCACTGGTGTCACCATTAATGTCACCATGGTGGGACCGTGGTATCATCATTAGTAGCACCATTGGTGTCACCATCAGTGTCAACCATGATGGGATCAAGATGTCACCACCAGTGCCACCATGGTGGGACGGTGGCACAACCATCACGTCACCTTTAGTGCCACCACAGGTGTCACCGGTGGTGCCACCACGCTGTGACCACAGTGTGACCATCAGTGTCCCCACAGCCATGACGCCCCTGCTGATGTCCCCAGCCCTGGCCGCGGTGTCACCGGGGTGGGGGGGTGGGGTTGGCCCTCGGGGGGTTTATGTGGCCTTTAGGGGGGCATTAGCGGGGGAGGGGCGGGGGGGTGGGACCCCCTCGTTAGCGCTGCCTCGTTAGTGCCCTCGTTAGGGGGGGCCCTGGGGTGTCCCCAAGCACCTGGGGTGACCCTGGAGTGTCCGAAGGTGCCATGGGGGGCTTGAAGGGGCTCTGGGGGTGCCCTGGGGTCCCTACAGGTGCCATAGGGGTGTTCCCAGGGTGTCCCTGTGGTGTCTCAAGGTGCCATAGGGGTGTCCCCAAGCACCTGGGGTGTCCCTTGGGTGTCTGGGGGAGCCCTGAGTGGTACCTGGGGGTACCTGGGAGGTACCTGTAGGAGCCCTGGGGAACACCTGTAGGATCTGTAACACACCTGGGGGTACCTGGGGCGTACCTGTGGGGTCTGTAAGAGCCCTGGAGGGTACCTGGGGGTACCTGGGAGGTACCTGTGGGGTACCTGGGGGTACCTGTGGGGTCTGTAAGAGCCCTGGAGGGTACCTGGGGGAACACCTGTAGTGTCTGTAGGAGCCCTGGGGAACACCTGGGCCGTACCTGGGGGTGTCTCTAGGGGCCCTGGGGTGCCCGGGGCGCGGCGGGGGGGTACCTGGCGGGTAGCGCTCGTGCAGGGGGCCGCCGTCCACCTGGAGCGTGGCGTTGCCGCCGCTGCGCGTGAAGGCGGACGACGTGGAAGCGCCCATCGCTGACGGCCGCCCCCCCGCTCCTCCAGCGCAATGTCCTCGGTGCCCACGTTGAACAGGACCCCCACGGCCCCCTGCACCTGCGGGGTGGGCACGGGGGGCACTGGTGGGTGCCCGTCCCACTTCCCCCCAATTCCCCCCTGCACCCCAGGTTTGGCCGCTTTTACGATGCAGGAAATCGCCAAATCTGGTTCTTAACAAGAACCCGCAGAGCCCCCCCAAAACCTCACCCAAGACCCCCAGACCCCAATTTTTTTTTGACGTCACGTGGAGCTCCAGGATGTCACCAAATCCAGCAGGAAGCCCTGGAGCCCCTCAGGACCCCCATTAAACCCCCTGCACCCCAAATTTGTCCCCTCTTATGCTGTGGAGCTGAGGGAAGTGACCAAACCCAGCCTTGACCAGGAGTCCCCAGAGCCCCTAAATCCCCCCAGGACCCCCATAAAGCCCCCTAAACCCCTCAATTATGATGCAGGAAATCACCAAGTCCAGGAAACCCTGGAGATCTCCTCAAGATTCCCTGCACCTCCAGACCCTCCCAGCACCCCCAGACCTCAATTTTGGAAGTCACCAAGCCTGGCCATGCTCTCCATGCACAGCAGCACCCCCAGACCCCCCTAAACCCCCTAAACCCCCAGACCCCTAAACTCCCCTGTACCTCCAGCCCCTCCCAGCCCCCCCAGCACCCCCGTACCCCAGTTTCTGAGCCCCCCTTACAATGTGGAGCTGCAGGAAGTCGCCGAGGCCGGCCGCGCTCTCCACGCGCAGCAGCACCGCGTCGCGCTGCCGGGTGCTGAAGCCCAGGGCCAGGCGGTCAGCGCGGGTGCTGGGCCGGTCATTGGGGGGCCACGTGTAGGTGATCAGGGCCCCCCCCCTTGCCGAAAATGTACGTGGTGCCCGCTGGGGGGGGGAGAGAAAAACGGGGGGTCAGGGGGGGAAAGAAAAGGGGGGAGTGGGGGAGCCAGTCTGGGGGGAGCTCAGGGCAGGGGGGCTCAGGAGGTTGGGGGATTTGGGGGTCCCTGAGTGCAGGGGGACCCCCTGGAATTTGGGCACTGCAGGAGGGACCCCCGGAGTTTGGGGGTGAACTGGAATTTTTTTTTGGGGAGGGGACCCTAAGGTTTATGGGGAACCCTGGATTTGGGGGGTCCATGACATCCCAGGGGGGGCCCTGAGGAATGGGGAGGGGTCTGAGAGCTGGGGGGGGAGAACGTCGGAATTTGGGGGAGGGGCTGTGGGGCCATCAGGACCCCCCAATGTCTGGGGGTCCCTCTTGTACCCCCTTCCCCCCATGGCCTTGCAGGAGGGCTCAGGATGCACAAATACATCCAGAATACATCAAAAAATGGACAAAACCGCCCAAAACACCCCAAAACCATCCCAAACCAGCCAAAAACCAGCCCAAAAACCTGCAAACCATCCCAAAACAGCCACACACCCCAAAACAGCCAAACACACCTCAAAAAATGCAAAACACACCCCAAAACAGCCAAACACACCCCAAAAAATGCCAACACACCCCAAACCACTGCAAAACACCCAAACACACCCAAAAACCTCCAAACCACCCCAAAATAGCGCAAAAACACCCAAACACCTCAAAATCACCTGAACGCACCCCAAAACCATTGCAAAACACCCAAAACCACCCAAAAACCCACGCGTGACACAGTGTGGACACATGGGGGGGGGGGCACAGACCCCACAGGGCTCCCCTAAACCCTGACCCGGGCCTGGCAGGATGAGGAGGAGGAAGAGGAAGAGGGGGAGGAAGGCTGTTCCAGGTTCCCAAGGCAGCAAGGAGGAGGAGGAGGAGGGAGGAAGAGGCGGTGACAGGGGAGGAGGAGGAGGGGGAGGAAGGCAGGCTGAAGTACCCGCGAGCAGCTGGGAGGAGGAGGAGGGTGAGAAACAGGAGGAGGAGACGGAGGAAGAGGAGGAGGAGGAGGAGGATGAAGGCTGTCCCACCTTCCCAAGGCAGTGAGGAGGAGGAGGGGGGGGAGGAAGAGGAAAGAGGGGAGGAGGAGGAGGAGGTGAAGGAGAAGGAGGAGGAAGAGGGGGAGGAAGGCCATCTGTGTCCCTGTCATGGTGAAGAGGAAGTTGAGGGAGCCTGAGGCTGAGGAAGAGGATGATGATGATGATGATGATGATGAGGGTTTTGGGGGTCCCTGTGAGGGAGGAGGAGGATGAAGGCTGATGAGGAGGGTGATGAAGGCTCACTGAGCTGGCTGTGGGTGAGGAAGGGACTCTGGATGGCCATGGGGAGGAGGAGGATGAAGGTGATGGTGTCAAGGGTGATGAAGGCTCATCGTGGTGCCCATGGGTGAGGAAGGGCGCACAGGTGATGGCGATGGGGAGGATGAGGAGGATGACGGTGAGTGGGATGAGGATGAAGATGAGAATGGTGAGGAGGATGAAGAGGATGATGTGGACAATGATGTGGGTGACGATGAAGGCTCACCATGGCGCACGTGGTTGGTGGCAATGGGGGGGTAAAAAAGGATGAGGGTGAGGATGATGAGGAAGGTGAAGATGAGGATAAGGAAGGCGAGGATGAGGAGGATGAGGATGGGGATGTTGAAGATGATAAGGAAGGTGAGGATGATGGTGAGGATGATGATGGGGATGATGAAGGCTCGCCATGTTGGCTGCAGGTGAGGAAGAGCATGCGGTTGACGGTGATGGGGAGGATGAGGAGGATGATGAGGAAGGTGATGATAAGGATGATGATGGTGATGATGATGATGATGATGATGATGATGAAGGCTCACCGTGGTGGCCATGGGTGAGGAAGGGCATGCGGTTGATGGCCATGGGGAGGATGAGGAGGATGATGAGGAAGGTGATGATAAGGAAGGTGAGGATGATAAGGATGATGATGATGATGATGAAGGTGATGGTGAGGATGAGGAGGGCTCACCGTGGTGGCCGGTGGGTTTGTAGGTGGAGGAAGGGCGCGTGGTTGATGGCGATGGGGGATGATGATGATGATGATGATGAGGGTGATGATGATGAAGGTGATGGTGAGGATGAGGATGAGGAGGCTCACCATGGTGGCTGCGGGTGAGGAAGGGCGCGCGGTTGATGGCGATGGGGAGGATGATGAGAATGATGATGATGAAGGTGATGGTGAGGGTGAGGATGAGGAGGGCTCACCGTGGTGGCCGCGGGTGAGGAAGGGCGCGCGGTTGATGGCCATGGGGAGGATGAGGAGGATGATAAGGATGATGATGATGATGATGATGATGATGATGATGGTGATGGTGAGGATGAGGAGGGCTCACCGTGGTGGCCGCGGGTGAGGAAGGGCGCGCGGTTGATGGCGATGGGGAGGATGAGGAGGATGAGGAGGATGATAAGGATGATGATGATGATGATGATGATGATGATGATGATGAAGGTGATGATGATGGTGAGGATTGAGGAGGGCTCACCGTGGTGGCCGCGGGTGAGGAAGGGCGCGCGGTTGATGGCGATGAGGATGATGATGATGATGAAGGTGATGATGATGATGATGATGAAGGTGATGGTGATGATGATGATGAAGGTGATGGTGATGGTGAGGATGAGGAGGGCTCACCGTGGTGGCCGCGGGTGAGGAAGGGCGCGCGGTTGATGGCGATGGGGAGGATGAGGAGGATGAGGAGGATGATGAGGATGATGATGATGATGATGATGAAGGTGATGGTGATGATGATGATGATGATGATGGTGATGGTGAGGATGAGGAGGGCTCACCGTGGTGGCCGCGGGTGAGGAAGGGGCGCGCGGTTGATGGCCATGAGGAGGATGAGGAGGATGAGAGGATGAGGAGGATGAGGAGGATGATAAGGATGATGATGATGATGATGATGATGAAGGTGAGGGTGAGGATGAGGAGGGCTCACCGTGGTGGCCGCGGGTGAGGAAGGGCGCGCGGTTGATGGCGATGGGCGCCGTGCCGTGCCGCCCGTGGAAGTGGTGCACGTGGTGGGTGGTCGAGAGGCTGGAGGAGACGCGGGCGGGGCGGGCGGGGGGCACCAGCACCCCCAGCACCCCCAGCACCCCCCAGCGCCCCCCAGCGCCAGCACCCCCAGCGCCCGGGGCCCCCCCCGGCCCCCCATCGGCCCCTCAGCGACCCCCCCCCCATCCGGCAGCGCCGGGGGGGACCCCAGCGAGGGGGACCCCAAATGGGGGGAGGAGCCCCCGGATGGAGATGGAGGGGAGGGGGGAGAGAGGGGGCAGCCCCCGAATTTGGGGGGAGGGGAGAAGGAGAGGGGGGAACCCCCAAATTTGGGGGTGAAAAGAGGGGGGAACCCCAAATTTGGGGGGGAAGATGAGTGGGGAGAGCCCCCAAATTGGGGGGGGGGAGAAGAGAGAGAACCCCAAACTGGGGGGGGGTGAGGGTGGGGAGGGAAAGGGGACCCCCGAAATGGATGGAGGAGGGGATGGGGGAGTCCCCAAATGAGGGGGGGAGCCCCCAAATGAAGGGGGCGGTTCCCAAATGAGGGGGTGGGAGGTGGGGGGGGGGAGGGGAGACCCCCAAAAAAAAAGGGGGGGGGTTGAAAGGAGGGGGGGAGACTCCAAATGAGGGGAGGGGGTGAAGAGAGAGGGGTGAGAGCCCCCAAATGGGGTCTAGGGGGGATTGAACCCCAAAATGGGGAGGGAGGAGGTGGGGGGCTCCCAAATTGGGGGGTGGGAGAAGGAGAGGGGGAGCCCCCAGTTAAAGAGGGGGGTGAGAGCAGGGGGGGACCCCAAAATGTTGGGGCTGGGGGTGAAGGGAGGGGGGGCGTCCCCAAAAGGGGGGAGGGAGGAGGGTGAGACCCCAAAATGGGGGAGAGAGGGAGAGGGGGAGCCCCCAAAAGGGGGGTGGGGGGATTGAGAACCCCAAAAGGGGGGTCTGGGAAGGATTGAACCCCCAAAATGGGGGGGGAGGCAGTTGAGGGGAGGGGTCGTGCCCCAAAATGAGGCCCCCGGGGGGGGGTCTTGAACCCTAAAATGGGGTTTGAGGGGGGTTGTGCCCCAAAAGAGGGTCTGGGGGGGTGCTGAACCCCGAAATGGGGCTGGGGGGGACGGCGAGCCCAAAATTGGGGTGAGGGGGGCTTCAAATCAGCTCAAAAATGGGGAGGGGGGGGCAGTCCCAGTTCAACCCAACCTGAAGTTGGGGAAACCCCAAATTCCCCCCAAATCTGGGCCCTGGGTCACCCCAAAAGGGCCGGGGGGGTCCCCGAATCTCCCCCACCCTTGGAGCTCAATGAGCCCAAAATCCACCCACGGAGCTGGGGGGGGGGGCCCGGATCACCCCGAAAATGGGGCTGGGGGAGGCCCTGAGAAACCCAAATCCCCCCAAAATAGCGCCGGGGGGGGGCAAACCCCCTTAAATGGGGCTGGGGGAGGCAAATCCCCTAAAATAGAACCGGGGGGGGGCAATCACCCCAAGAGGGGCTGAGGGGGGGGGCTGAACCCCCTAAAATGAGGCCGGGGGGGACCCAAATCCCCCCCAAAATGGGGCTGGGGGGGGGGGGGATGGCCCGAATCTCCCTCTAGATCAGGGCTGGGGGGGGTGGGGGGGGCGGCTCCCCCCCCTTAAAAAAGCGGCCGGCGCCCCCAAAGGGCCCCGGGGGGTCCCGACCCCCCCTGGGCTGCGGGGCCGGGGGGTCCCGAGCGCCCCCCCCGCGGGGGGCTCTGATCCCCCCCCCGGGGCTCAGCGCATGCGGGGGGGGGGGCGCGGGGGGGCCCCGGGCGGGGGGGGCCAGGGCGGGGGGGGGCGCGGGGGGGAGCTCAGAGGGGGTCGAGCATGGTCCGGGGGGGGGCTCGGGGTGGGGGGGGGGGGGGATGTGGGGCTGGGAAATGGGGGGGGGGGGAGCGGGGGGGTGCGGGATGTGGGGTGGGAGCGATGGGGGGGGGATGGGGGTGCGGGATGTGGGGCAGGAGCGATTGGGGGGGTGGGAAATGGGGGGGGGGGATGCGGGATCGGGGGGTGGGGGGCGATGTGGGGCCGGGAAATGGGGGGGAGGAGGGAGAGGAAGATGCGGGATCGGGGGGAGATGGAGCGGATTGAGGTGGGGGGGGCGATGTGGGGCGATGGGGGGGGGGGGGGAAATGGGAGATGTGGGGCCGGGGCTGCGGGAGGCTGAGGATGAGGACGGAGGGATGAGGATGAGGATGAGGATGAGGATGAGGATGAGGATGGCGGTGGGGATGAAGCGGGGGCTGTGCGTGGGGCGGGGGGGGCTCTGGCCTGGGCGGGGCGGCGGCGGCGGCGGCGCGCGGTGGGGCCGGAGGCTCTCGGGGCCCGCCGGGGGCCGTGGGGCGGCGGGGCCGGGGGGCGCCGCTGGGGCCGTGGGGGCGGTGGGCGCGGGCGGCCGTGGGGCGGCGGCGGCGGCGGCTGCTGCAGCGGGAGGGGCGGGGGCGGGGGAGGGGCGGGGGGGGGGAGGGGCCGGGGGGGGAGGGGCCACGCGCGACCCACGAGGGGGAACCCACGGACCGAGCCCCCCCCACCGCACGGTGTGGGGAAGGCGGGGGGAGCCCCACAGAGCCCCCCCAGGGCACCCCCGCGGCCCCACCGCCAGCCCCGGAGGTGTCGCCGGACCCACGGAGCCGCCCGTGGGGACAACCGGGGACAATCGGGGGTCGGGGGGGCTCAGGGAACCCCCCCCGGGACACCCCAGAGCCCCACACGGGGCTGTCCCCGTGCCCCACGGTGGGGAGGGGGGGGGCGGGCGAGCCCCACAGCAACCCAGGGCAGCGCCACCCCCCCCCGCGTGCCGGTGTCCCCACAGCCCCACGGGGACACCGGGATCAGGTCCTGCCCCACGGCGACACCGGGATCAGGTCCTGCCCCACGGAGCGGCCCCAAAGCCCCCCCGGGAGCCCCACCCAGGTGTGGGGCAAAGGCGGCGCTGCCTGGGACTCAACCTGGAGGGAGGGGACAGGGGGGGACAGGGGGGACAGGGGACAAAGGGGGACAGTGGGACATGGGGGGGACACCCGGACATGGGGGGGACATTGGGGGGGTCCTGATCCCCCCCCCCGTGAGGGACACAGGTGTGGCACGTGCTGTCACCTGCCCCTCGTTAGGGCCCGTGGGGACACGGGCAGGGGTCAGAGCCACCCCGGGGCAGGGACACGTGTGTCCCTCGTGTCCCTCGTGTCCCTCGTGTCCCTCGTGTCCCTGGTGTGAGAGCCCTGGGGGGACACGGAGCCCTCGTGCCAGGCACAGGTGGCACAGGGGTGGCACAGGTGGCACCCGCGCTGCCACCTGCCCTCCTTAAGGGCCACCATGGGGGCACCAAGGAAGTGACGGAGCCACCTCAGCCAGGGACACTTGTCCCGTTTGGGGCCACCACGGCTCGTGCCAGGGTCACAGGGCCACACACCGAGGGGACAAGGGCCACCTGCCCCCCCTGCTCGCTCCTGGGGGCTCCCCCCGGTGTGGGGTGTCCCCCACCCACCCTGGGACCCCTGAGCTCCTTGTGCGTCCCCCTTGTGTCCCCCTGAGCCACCCGTGCCACTCTGTGCCCCCAAATCCCCTCGTGCCCCCCACTCAAACTGGGCACAGCTGCCCCTCTGAGCTCCCCGAGCCTTCCTGAGCCCCCCAAATCCCCTTCGTGCCCCCCAAATCCCCTCGTGCCCCCCACTCAGATTGGCCACAGCTGCCCCTCTGCAACTTCCTGAGCTCCCCAAATCCTCTCTGTGCCCCCAAATCTCCTGGCCCCCCACTCAAACTGGCCACAGCCGCTCCTCCAAGGCTCCTGAGCCCCCAAATCTCCTTGCGTTCCCCACTCAAACTGGGCACAGCCATTCCTCCAAGCCCCCCGAGTCTTCCTGAGCCCCCCGAGCCCCCCAAATCTCCCTGAGCCCCCCACTCACACTTGGCACAGTTTCCCCCCTTAAGTTCTCCTGAGCCCACCAGCCCTCCAAGACACTCAAGCCTCCTGGCCCCCCACTCAAACTTGGCACAGCCACTCCCCCAAGCCCCCCTGAGCCCCCCTGAGCCCCCCTGAGCCCCCCAAAGCCTCCCTGGCCCCCCACTCACGCTCGGCACAGCCGGCCCCCCCGAAGGCCGTCATGCTGCAGTCGCAGGTGAAGCCGTCCCCACTGCTGCAGGCAAACGCCCCCCGTGGGCACACGAGTCCTCGGCGCACGTCGTGCTGGGGCCTGGGGGGGGCACCGGGCTCGTGGGGACCCCCCCAGCTCCCCCAAATCCCGAGGGGGGCTCTCAATGGGCTCTCAATGGGTTTTTGTGGCCCTAAATCCCCTCCCTCCCCCTGCCTTTGTGTGCCTCCAGTCCCCCCAAAGCTCCCTTGGACACCTCATTGTGCCCCCCACCCTGAGCCCCCTGCCCACCCGTGCACCCCCTCCCCAACCCTTTGGAAAAGTCCCAGACACCCCAAAAAAAGCCCCGGATACCCCCAGAACCCCTGTGCCCCCTCAGCCCCCCCCCAGGTGCCCCCCAATTCTCCAATTCTCACCATCCCAGCCCCCCTGTACATCCCCCCCACTCTGCAAGCCCCCAGACCCACCCAGTGCCCCCCAGATTTCACCATCCCACTCCCCCCTCTCATCTCCACACTCTGCAGCCCCCAGACTCGCCCAGTGCCCCCCATTTCTCACCGTCGCAGCCCCCCCTCACATCCCCCATATCCCAAAGCCCCCAGACCCACCCAGTGCCCCCCATTTCTCACCCTCGCAGCCCCTCCTCACGTCCCCCACATCCCAAAGCCCCCCAGACCCCCCAGTGCCCCCCATTTCTCACCGTCGCAGCCCCTCCTCACGTCCCCCACTTCCCAAAGCCCCCCAGACCCGCCCAGTGCCCCCCATTTCTCACCGTCGCAGCCCCTCCTCACATCCCCCATATCCCAAAGCCCCCAGACCCCCCAGTGCCCCCCATTTCTCACCCTCACAGCCCCCTCCTCACATCCCCCATATCCCAAAGCCCCCAGACCCACCCAGTGCCCCCATTTCTCACCATCGCAGCCCCTCCTCACGTCCCCCATATCCCAAAGCCCCCAGATCCCCCCAGTGCCCCCCATTTCTCACCGTCGCAGCCCCTCCTCACGTCCCCCACGCGTCTCAGGGCGTCCCCAGCAGGTCGGGCAGGCGCCCGTTCAGGTCCAGCGAGGCCAAGCAGCCCCGGAAGCCCCCCCGGGAGGCCACGAGGCGCGGGAGGCGCCCCAGGAGCCCCGGGCTGACCCCCCCGACGTACAGCTCACCTGGGGGGGGGGCACGGGCGGGGTCACCTGGGGGGCCCCCGAGCGCTCTGTGCACCTCGGGACAAGCCCCCCCAGCCTGGTGGGGGTCACCCATTGGAGACCCCCCCCCCACCCCGCCCTCCATATCTCATTGTCCCTCACCCCAGCCCGGTGTCCAGGTGCACCTGGGGGACACCTGGGGGGCATTCAAAGGTTTGAGGGGATGCCCTGCTGTGGGTACCCCACTGGGGTGACCCCTCCCATCCACCCCGGAACCATCCCCACACCTCTGCCCTTCCCCAGATCTCACCCAGGTGTGCCCCAAGTGTGTCCCAGGTATGTCAAAGGGTGTGTCCCAGATGATCCCAGGTGTGTCCCAGGTGTGTCCCAGGGTGATCCCAGGTATGTCAAAGGGTGTGTCCCAGGTGTGTCCCAGATGTGTCCCAGGTGTGTCCCAGGTGATCCCAGGTATGTCCCAGATGTGTCCCAGCTGTGTCTCAGGTGATCCCAGGTGTGCCCCAGGTGGGTACCCACACACCTGTACCCTCCCGTTAGGTGTCCCCCACCTGTCCCCAGGTGTCCCCAGGTGTGTCCCAGGTGTCCCCCAGGTCTCACCCTTGAGCTGCAGCCCATGGGTGCCTTTCCCATGCTGGGTCAGGGGGTACCCACACACCTGTACCCTCCCGTTAGGTGTCCCCCACCTGTCCCCAGGTGTGTCCCCAGGTGTCCCCAGCTGTCCCCCAGCTGTCCCCCAGGTCTCACCCTTGAGCTGCAGCCCGCGGGCGCCCTGCCCGTGCTGGGTCACGGGTCTCCCGTCCACGCGCAGCCCGTGCAGGGCCCCCCCCCTCCCGTGCCACGGCCACCTCGTGCCAGCGCCCGTCGTGCAGCGGCTGCTCCGAGTTGCCCTTCATGAGCGAGGGGCCCTCGCCCAGGTCGAACACGTAGTGGATGTACCTGGAAAAGGGGGCGTGGCCTCGTTGGGCGTGGCCTCGGGGAAGGTGGAGGGTGGGGACTCACCTGGGGAAGGGACAAAGGGGACACCCCCCCCCCACCCCTGATACAGGGAGGGTAACTGGGCCGGGGGGGCGGGGCCAATGGTGGGGGTGTGGCCATGGTTAGGTGTGGTCGTTGTGGGCGTGGCCTGAGCCAGGAGGAGGAGCTTGTGACATGGGGGTGGAGCCTAAGGGTGGGTGGCGGGAGGTCCTTGAGGGCTGAGCGGGTCCCAAGGTCCGAAAAGGCTCAGAAGGTCCCCAAGGTCCCCAAGGTCCCCAGGGCCCTCCTGGTGTCCCCAGGGCTCCCAGGGCATCCAGGAGGTCCCCAGGAGGTTCAGGAGGTCCCCAAAGTCCCCAGGACCTCCCACATGTCCCAGGTGGTCTCTGACATCCCCTGGAGGTCCCCAGGATGTCCCCAAAATCCCCAGGACCCCCAAGTGGCCTCTGAGCTCCCCAGGTGCTCCCTGAGACCCCCAAGGACCCCACAGGTGTCCCCAAGATCTGGGAAGATCCCTGAGCTCCCCAGCAGGGCTGTGATGTCCCAAGGATCCCTGAGCTCCCCAGGACGTCCCCCCAGTGTTCCCCCAGTGTCCCCTCACCCCTTGACCAGCTCGACCACCAGGAAGTCGGAGCCGCTGCCGCCGTTGAAGAGGATGAGGCCGTCGGGCGCCGTGGTCTTGAACTGGAAGAAGAGGTGGAAGGAGGAGAAGGCCTGGAGCGTGGCCAGCGCCACGTAGGAGCCACGGCCCCCGAAGGCCACCGGGTCGGCCACGATGGCGCGGCGGCCGAAGCGGGCGTTGAGCTCGCAGGAGCTGATGTCGCCGTCGCGGCACAGGTCCAGGTAGGGCAGCCCGTTGAAGACCAGCCCGCTCAGGTGGCCCAGGAAGTTGGACGGGACCAACGGCCAGGAAGCGGCGCTCGGTGACGATGCCGGTCTCGATGTTGTGGAACTCCAGGCGGGTGTGAGAGCCCGACAGCTGTCCTGGGGGGCGTGGGGGACACGGGGGTGGCACCGGGAGCACGAGGGCGGGCGGGTGCCACCGTGCCGTGGGGCCTGTTGGTCTCATGGGCCTCCAGGCTGTGGGCGGTGTCCTCACAGGGCTGGTGACCTCGTCCCTGTGCACCCGTGTCCCCAAAGACTTTGATTCATGTTCTCATGGACTTTCATCCCTGTCCCCATGGATTCCTGTCCCATGGACCTTCGTCCATGTTCTCATGGACCCTCAGCCCTGTCCCCATGGATCCCTGTCTCCTGGACCTTCATCCATGTTCTCATGGATCTTCATCCATGTTTCTATGGAACTTCATCCTTGTCCCCAAGGACCTTCATCCCTGTCCCCATAGATCTTCAGCCCTGTCCCATGGACCTTCATCATGTTTCTATGGAACTTCATCCTTGTCCCCCAAGGACCTTCATCCATGTTGCCATGGACTAGCAACCCCACTGGCCATGTCCCCATGGACATGGTCATCATGTCCTCAAGAATCTGTGCACCCATCACCACGTGTCCCCATGGACCTTCATCCCTCCATCCCCATCCCATGGACCTTCATCCATGTTCTTATGGACCTTCATCCCTGTCCCCATGTCCCCGGTCCCCATGTCCCCAAGCCCCAATGTCCCCATGGACCTTCATCCCCATCCCACAGACCTGCAGCCCCACTGACCACGTCCCCACGGGCCTGAGCACCCCGGTGACCCCAAGAGCCCAAGCCAAGGTCCCCCCCGCGCCGTCCCCCGCGGTGTCACCTTCGACGGTGACGTTGTCCACGGCGAGCTGGAGGCTGCGCCCGCGCCGGGCCACCCGCACCGAGTGCCACTCGTTGTCATCCAGCCGCTGCCCCGCAAACAGCGTCTCGGGGCCCTTGCCTGGGGGCAGCGGGGACAGCGGTGACACCGGGGACAACCGGTGACATTGGGGACACCGAGGACACCAAGGATACCGGGACACCGGGGACATTGGGGACACCAGGGACAGTGGGGACACCAGGGACAGCGGTGACACCGGGGACAACTGGTGACATTGGGGACACCAGGGACACCAGGGGACACCAGGGGATACTGGGGGCATCAGGGACACTGGTGGCACCAAGTGTCACTGGAGGATACCAGGGGGACATCACTGCACCAGGGAAAAAGAGACACCAGTGACACCAGGGGACACCAGTGACACTGGGGGATAGCACTGTGCTGGGGACACTGGGCCACCAGTACGGGTGACACCGTAGCAGCTGGTGGCACTGGGTGGCACTGGGTGACACTGGGACACACTGGGTGGCACTGGGTGACACCAGATGTTCACAGCTGGAAGTGTCCAGCAGAGAATCCGGGGATTCGGCCCAGGTGTGACCCCCTGAACCCACCTGTGCATCCCAAACGCACACATGGGGGGGGTCCCAGCCTTTCGGGGGGGTCAGGAGGGGTTTGGGGGTCCCTGTGGAGGTTTCGGGGTGATCCAGAGGGTCTGGGAGTGTCCCCAGGGGGTGTCCCTGGGGGGGGTTGGGGCAGTTTTAGGGGTGTTCATGGGGGGGTTTTGGGGGTGTTCATGGGGGGGTTTTGTGGGCTGGGTATCCCAGGGGGGTTGGGGGGTTTTGGGGGTGTCCCGGGGGTGTCCCCGGGGGTGTCCCGGGGCGGGGGTGGCACTTACTGGGGTGACAGCCCACGCGGACACAGTCTGGGGAGAGAAGACACGGGTCAGGGCCCTTCGCTGCCGCCGCCAGGGGGCGCCCCGGGGACGGGGGGGGGCGGCCGGGGGGGGCGAGGCGCCAGAGAGGGGGAACTGGTAGGGACTGGGAATGGGATGGGAGGAGACTGGGGGGACTGGGATGGACTGAAAAGGACTAGGGGTGACTGGAAGGGGACTGGGAGAGACTGGGAGGGAACTGGGAAGGACTGGGAGGAGACTGGGGGGGACTGGGAATGAGATGGAATGGGGTGGGATGGGATGAGGAGTGGGAATAGGATGGCACTGCGATGGACTGGGATGGACTGGGATGGACTGGGAGGGACTGGGAGGGACTGGGGGGAACTGGTTTAGGGGGTCTCTGGCACCTCGTGGGGGGCACGGCCGCCCTGAGGGCCCAGCCCGGGGGGATCTGGGGGGGATCCAGGGGGATCCCACCCAGGGCTGGGCCCCCCCTCGTCAACCGCTGCGGGGCGGGGGGGGCGCAAACGCCGGGACCCGGGGGGGGTCCCCAATCCCATGGGGGGGTCCCCAACCCCTTCAGGAGGTCCCCAATCCCATGGGGGGTCCCCAATCCCACAGGGGGCGTCCCCGACCCACAGAGGACCTGCAGCCCCTCAGGGGTTCCCCCCAATGGAAGGGGCTGCAGGAGGGGTCCCCAACCCTGGGGGGTCCCCAATCCTCTGGGGGGGACCCTCAGCCCCTGGGGGGGGTCCCGGTGCTGTGCCCCCAGGTGGCAGCGGGGGGGTCACGAAGGCCCCGATCCGCGGGGGGAGTTGGGGACACCGAGGTGCTCTGGTGACGCTCCAGGGCCGGTTTGGGGGTCACGGGTGCAATTCTGGGGGTGCCCGGGCACCTTTCTTGGGTCCTGGGCACCTCTGGGGGAAGTTTTGGGGTCCCAGGCACCAACTTGACCATTTTGGGACTGTAAGAATTAACCCCGACATAATTTTTGGACCTGAACACGCTTTTTGGGGTCCCAGGCATGAACTTGGCGATTTTAGGGACAGGAGAACTGACCTGGGCACCACTTTGGGGTCCTGACCATCATTCTGGGCTCCCAGGCAACAACTTTGGGCCATTTTGAGGCCAAAAGCATTTTTGGGAATGTTTAGAGATCCCAAGAATAATTTTTGGGGTCATAAGAACCGGCTTGGGCACCAACCTGGGGTCCTGAGCATCACTGTGGCCTCCCAGGGCACCAATTTGACCATTTTGGGGTTCCCAGACACCATTTTAGAGTCCCAGGAACCATTTTGGGGTCTTAGACACCATTTAGGGGTCTCAGACACCATTTTAGAGTTCCAGACAATATTTTGGGGGTCCCAGACACCAATTTTAGGATCCCAGACACCATTCTGGGATCCCAGGCTCTATTTTGGGGCCACAGCACCATTTTGGGGTCCCAGGAACCATTTTAGGGTCCCAGGCCCTATTTTGGGGTCCCAGGAACCATTTTAGGGTCCCAGGCCCTATTTTGGGGTCCCAGGAACCATTTTAGGGTCCCAGGCCCTATTTTGGCCCTCCTGGCATGACCAGACCCAACTTGGGCCCCGTTTTGGGGAGGATATCGAGGAGATTTCAGGGGACGTTTCAGGGACGTTCCGGGGTTTATCTGGGGGTCTCTGTGGGGGTCTCGGGGGGCTCACCCAGGTTGAGGGTGAGCTTCATGCGCCCCCCGTCCAGCTCGAGGCGCAGGGTGTCGGCCGAGTGGCGCGAGGTGGTGGCCAGGACGAGGCCGAAGGCTCGGGGGGACATGAAGCGCAGGGAGACGTCCTCGGCCTCCGTCTGCTCGCCCGGCACCTGCACCTTCAGGTACATGCTGCCATCATAGCTCAGCACCGCCGCCTCTGCGGGGACGGGGACGCCGCTGTCACCCTCGGCACGGCCACCCCCAGTGTCCCCAGGGCGTCCCCAGGGCGTCCCCAGGGTGTCCCCAGGGTGTCCCCAGTGAGCTGGGACCCCGCAGCCAGGTGAGCCCTGCCCCAGGTGAGCCCCGCCCCAGGTGAGCACCGCAGTGTGTGGGGGGACAAGGGACGTTGCCACCAGATGCCACCGCCCGGGACTGGAGGTGGCTGGGGACCCCCAGCTCTGGGGGAGTCACCCGTGCAGGGGACACCCAGGTGTCCCAGGGGGGCTCAGGTGCTCCCAGGTGTCCTTGGGGACATCCAGGCACCTCCTCCCCAGGTGTGACCCCCTCCCTCCCCCCCAGAGGGGACCCGGGTGTCCCAACCCCCCCATCCCCTCTCCTCACCTGTCCCACAGCGCTGGCCCAGGTGCCCCATGTCCCCTAAGTCCCCCCCGTGTCACCTCGGGGTCCTGTGTCACCCTCAGTCTCCCCCATCCCCTTTCCCCCAGCTCACCCAGGGTGCTCAGGAGGTGCCACCCCCTCTGTCTTCGCTGTCCCCATGTCCCCTCACCTGTCCCACAGCATTGTCCAGGTGCCCCATGTCCCCCTCAGTCCCACCTGTGTCACCTCGGGGTCCTGTGTCACCCTCAGTCCCCCCCAGCCCTCCCTTCCCGGCTCTCCCAGGTGCTCAGGAGGTGCCACCCCCTCTGTCCCTGCTGTCCCCGTGTCCCCTCACCTGTCTCGCAGCGCGGCCCCAGGTACCCGGTGCCGCGGCAGTCGCACACGAATCGGTTCCATCCCTCGCGACACGTGCCCCCGTTGCGACAGGGGGCGCTGGCGCACAGCCGGGGGGGGTCCCCTGGCACAGAGCGGGGCCACCCCCGGAGCCCCCCCCGAGGCCAGGAGCGCCCGCACGTCGCGGCTCCGCCCGTCCACGAACAGGTCCCGCACACAGCCCACGAAGCCGAGGCGCAGCCCCGCGGCCCAGAGCTCGGGGGGCGCGGGGGGGCCCGGCCGGGCCTCGGGGAGCCCCCCCAGGTACAGCTCGGCCCCCCACGTCCAGAACGTCCCGGTCACCGCTGGCCAGGAAGGGCGTGCTGCGACTGTTCACCGACACCGAGCCTGGGGACACCCGGGCGGGGACCTCAGGG